CAAGAGTGTCTCACAAGAGTGTCCCTTAAGAGTGTCCCACAAGAGTGTCCCGCAACAGTGTCCCACAAGAGTGTCCTACAAGAGCGTCCCACAAGAGCTTCCTACAAGAGTGTCCCACAAGAGTTTCCTACTAGAGTGTCCCACAAGAGTGTCCCACAAGAGTGTCCCGTAAGAGTGTCCCACAAGAGTTTCCTACAAGAGTGTCCCACAAGAGTGTCCTACAAGAGTGTCATTTGGACATATGTAGCTTTTCGAACGTGTTTGCATTCGGGTTCGTGGGCTCCACCTTGTTTTCTGTAGGAGAGAGTGTGATAGGATGACAATGTTGGTAGCTGCAGAACCAAGTACCTCACTTGGTGCTCATTCTCCGCATCATCCCGTGCATAGGTGAGACGTTTGCGCTGAGGCTTTGAGCACGTCTCACATACTGTCTAATCCTTCTAGTCAAGTCCTCATCCCGAGCCCTGTCTCATCCTCGTCCTGTCTTGTCATCCGCACGGTCCAAAGCAAGCTGCACCCCTTTTTCGACTCAGGACATTCAGGCTTCCATGAATTGAAACCATCTAGCTCCAGGACAAACAATGGAGTAGTTCCTTTCTTCATGGTCCTTCGATGTTTGATATACATGGCCTCAGGGGCTGCCCGAAGCCTGTAACAGTGATAGAACGTGTATTAAAGTCTTTAAACAGCTTTAAGCAGTTTGGTGCTTTGACCAAGTCTGGCATTACTCTAATTTGAGGGCTTTGCATCCTACCACTCATCCTACCCAGGCTTCCTTGCAGCAGCCCGACCTGGGCGCGCATGACTCACTTCTGTACACCTTGCAGCGTGATGGCCGCTGGGAGGCTGCGCAGCAGCATGTGCAGAGCATGCGCCACGAGGGTGTGGAGGCACCCAGATCCGGCAATGGGAGCGCGCGGGCGCGAGGTGAACTTCTGGATCATGTTTGGCCAGGTCTATTGGCGGGCTCAGGCTCCAGAAGTGATCGATTTGTCTCTATCGCTGGCAGGCTCTATCGCAGCAGCTCAAGGGATCTTAACACATCTTAACGCCACTGTCTGGCAGTTCTGAGTAGACATGTCAGGCTTCCTTCCACTCATTCCAACGTCACCTACGTCCCCTACGCTGGTCCGTCGTCCATTTCGACGTGGCACGGAGGCGAAAAGCAGCACCTGGACCTCACTGATGGGCTCGATGGATCGTGGGCAGCAGTGGCTTCAGGTTCTGAAGCTGCTGGACCTGGGAATCCAGCTCGACCTGGTCCTGGCATCTAGTGCCATCAGCGCTGTGCATACAGGCGACGCCTGGTGTAGCGGCCAGGTGTAAGAAATGGCATTCTGAATCGAAGGCAGATGAACCGCTGCCCGTTTTTACAGATAAACAGTAGGTGGTGTGTGGTTTGGAATCACACGAATCACAGTTCCCGGTCAGATCTGTCAGTAGTAGGGATTTACTGATTTAGTGTATCTTAGAACTCGGCTTCAACGAAGGCTCATTCAGTTGAGATGAGTCACTGAGCAAGCTGCTGCTGCGGCTGGTGTTGTGGTTCTTGTTGCGTCTATACGAATACTGATGATTCGGGTTTGCTGAGCTGTTTCTGATTCAGAACTCGCCAGCAGCCCGTGAGGTCATGGTTGGCACTTGGCGTGGCAGAGCTTTCATCAGCTGCGCCCACGAAGCCTACAGCCCGATGTGGCCGCCCACAGCGCGGCACCTCACCTTGTCGCAAGCAGGGGTCGGCTGGGAGTAGCAGGCCTTCCTTGTCCAACCTGGTGGAGGCCTTTGTTCCATTTTGTTCCTATAGTTCCTGGAATCCATTCTGAGAATCATCGGGCTTCTCCATTGCCCCCGCCAACCCCAAATCCCACAATCCGAGACACCCAGCAGAGCCTCAGGAAGGAAGGCTGTTTCTATGTTGTTTGGAACTGGGACACCTTTGCACTTCGGGGGCTTTGGTGAGACTTTTGCCTTCGTCCTGAAAGATCTTTGGAGCAAAACACCTGTGGATCCCTTCAGATCCTTTGGCAGGTCATTTGCAGGTCCTGTGTTTCCCCCATGTTTCTTTGCTGCGTTCATGAAAGCTCAACAAACCTGGAACCATGGCCTCGGGAAACACCAATCACTAGAATCGCATGTCTCTGTCATGTGGAGGCTGCACAAACGACCCGAAAACGACCCGAACGACTTCAGGTGATCAGCGCGGCTGAGAAGGGACAGCAGTGGGCTTTGGCACTCGCTGCCGCCGGTGCCGGAGTGACGCGCGGCCGCAGTCACCGGCCGACGCGGGTCGCGCGCGACGTCGGACGTGGTCCGTTCTGTTCGGAGCCTTGTTTTGGACTGGGAAGGGACTGACTGGTTGGGAGGGAATGGAGGGAGGTGAGGTGTGAAATTGTTTCTCATCCATATTTCGTGATGCAGATGAGATGCTTCTCGTTCTTCGTTGTCGGAGCTGTCAGGGGGAGGAAAGATCGATCGGTGCCGACAACCCCATGAATTCAGTCGTGAATAGTATCACGAAGTAGTCTTGGTTTTCAGGCCCCCCAATTGGCCAGTTGCAGCTGGAACGGTTCCAGTTGCAGGCCCCAGCTGATCGCCCTACCAGCTGATCACCCCACCGGCTCGCCGCAGCCACCGGCTCTCCGCATGTTCAACGTCAGCACTGATGCTGCAGGGAGTTGGACCTGATCTCGCTGAACACCGCGGCCGCCTGGTCATGGACCGCCGTGGGTGGGAGAATGACCCGGGGGGGTGAAAACCCCGGTGCTTTCTCCGGTGAACACAGAGGATGGACGAGTCCATCCTCCGAGTCCATCTTCCGGGATCGTTGAAGCCAGAAGAAGGTGTTTTGTTTCAACCAGGCGGACGCCTGGACGCAAGATGGAAGACTTTGCCGAGGGTTTATGGAGGACCAGGTGGAGGCGACACTGGAACGTAGAGCTCCCAGTTTTTTTTTTCTTCTGCTCCTCGCTGAGCCAGATGAGCCAATTCAAGAGGAGTGGAAGATACCAGGCCCGAAACTGGAGCCCAGACCAAGAAGGAAAAATACCTTGTGGATCCTTGTGGTCTTACTGTCTTACCCCTCCTTAACACTTTCGCAGTAAGTTCAAGAAGTGATGAACCCAGAGCCGGATAAACTTTTGTGATGATTGCTGTACTAATTTTCTGGCCATGCGGTAAAGACTTGGCTATGACAATCCTCCAACATGCAGGTGAAACGCCCTGATGCAATACTCTCCCAAACAGTTCCTGTGTTGCTTCCATGGTGAAGCACCAAGACCATGGCGTCCAACGTGAGGCTAAATGTCAGAATCAGTGCGTTCCTTTCGCGCAAAGGCTACACCTCACCCACCCCCCAAGGCGGTGGTACACTGAAACTAGGCAAGTATCCAAGTCTTCTGATGTGTGGCAGCCAGATACTGTCAGATGCCGCCACTTTCCCACGCTTTTTGACATCATTTTTCACCCAAGGTGAGTGCCTGTGAGAAGGGCCTTCAGTGGGCGAAGGTCAATGGGCTACTGAGTGCCCAGATGCCCCACCGGGGCATCACCTCGGATGCCATCAGCTGCCCAGCAAGCACTCAGATGGACTCGTCCACCAGCAGACCCCAGATTCGCCACTTCACCAAGTCAGATGTCGAGCTCCTTGCAAGCTCCAGGTTCTCTCCGATCTTCTCTGTTCAACCAACCCTTCGACTCGACCTCCCAAGGCTTCAACTCGGCCATCCTGGCGCTGACGGCGGCGCGACGTTGGCGGAGCGCCCTGGACCTGGCGCACGCCGCAGGCGAGCGGGGCATCACCCCCCAGGCGGGGCAAGAGGTCGGTGGAGGGTAGCAAGAGCCGACTGGTGGAGTGGGACTGGTGGATGGACAGGACATGACAGGACCTTTGGATGAATTTGGGGTTTGGGCATGGTTTTGGCAGATTTTTTGGCCACTTAGAGGGTGGAAGTATATAACTGCCTGTTTGGTGGGGTCAAGAAAAAGGATCCTTTTCCGCCTCGGCGCTGACCGCTTTTACGGTCAGACTCGGGAGAAGAGCAAAGCCAAAAGCAACTCTTCCGACCAAGGTTGGGAGCTACGGCGCGTTGTTGATGGAGTGCTTCTTGGATCAATTTGAGATTTGGTTTGGGCTATACCATACAGACGCACCTCCCATCAATTCGAGACTGACCCCTTTGAGTGCCAATGCACGGTTCGCACGGGGCGAGCCGGTTCGCAACCGCTCCGAGCGGTGCCTCGACACGTGGGTCTTTGTACTACACCTCCGTATCGCTGATGACAAAGGCAGGAGCGAATGTGACCTCTAATCACTTATAGTCTATATGCTGCTAGATTATTGTAGTAGCTTTCAAGAGTGTGACGGAAGGTTTTTCTCTTTTTTGTCATGTTTCGAGGTACGACCGTACGTACCCAGATTCGACCAACCTCTTACCTTTGATTCCTCCACCAGCCAATTCCGTCTCCTTCGTTGCGGGCCCAAGGTGAGGAGGCCAGTCCGTCCCTCTTGTCGTGTCAAGAGGAGCTGCTGCGAAGCTCGCTGGAAGCCGCAGGACTCGTGGAAAAAGGAGCGACGGCCGCGGGACTCGGTAGATGTCGGTGGACACCTGTTAGGGCCTTTCCCAACCCTCCAATTGGGTTCGGTGCTGATCGATCCCGTCGGGACGCCTCACTGGCCCAGACCCAGGCCGCGCCCGCCGGTCCGTCCGCTTCGTGGAGCTGTGCTGCCCACAGGTGCCCGCCGGACAGAACGGGGTGGGGCGGGAAACAGGGAGCTACAGATAGCTACAGGGGGTTCCCCTACCGGTTAACTGGCCAGAACAGTTGGATTTGGTGCGGTGCGAACTGTTGGCGAGGAGAAGTACAGGTAGGGGGCTCCATGGTGCATGGTGAAATATGGTGACTTGGACTTGCGAAGTCATCCATGGAGATGACTTAAAATGGATCTCTGATCTCAGCTTCCAGGGACGTCCAGCTGCTTCAAGAGACGTCCAGCTAGACATGTTGGACAAGTCCCCTCAAACCACTTGATCCAAGTGACCTACTTCAGGAGTTCCAGGGATGACTTACTTCGACACCCCAAATCGATCCAACAATGAAACTCAATGCCGGATGTGGAAATTTATGGTGGGAGGGTTCCCCACGTCCAGCGGTGAAACGCAAGTTATCCCAGGACGATCGGCACCACACGTTGCGCCGTGACTTTGGGAAGTTCGACGAGAAGCGCTTCTCAGAGCTGCTTGGGTTGAGCAAGCCGGTTTCTTATCGGCTGAAGAGGTAGTTGTTTTTTTGGCAAGGTTTTCGTTACAACCGCCAACCACTTGATGTACCACCAGCACCTTTATGCCAAAAGAGATGCCTTCAGGGAGAATTTGAGCTTCAACCGCGTTCAAATTGCGATGATGCCTCATCTGTGGTGGGTCCATCAACCGAACATGATTGGCGCCCCCTGAAAAAAAGCTCGCAGCTTCGAGCAGCTTTGGTTTCGGAAAGGAGAAAAAAGGGACGAACATCGCTTCCAGGGGGATCTATCTTCTTCAGAAGAAGCTGCGTGAGCTTCTCCGCAGAGGGGAACCGAGGATCGCAAGGAAGGACCCTCATGATCGGATTGGCAAAAGGTAGATGATTACCGATCACAGAAGGGAATATAATATATATATATATGTTGATTTGGGGTTAACCAAATGTATAGTATTACCAATGTTGGTGACCATTACCAATGATGTAACCAACATGATGGCAACATGTTTACCACATTTACCAACATGTCTACCTTTTACTGCAGAAGGGAATATGTTGATGTTTCATGTTCTGTCAAACCTGTTGGATTTGGGGTTAAGGGGAGTGTTAGAGGGTTGGGGCTGCCCTGTTTATGTAGTCTATCTTAGTCTAAGAGTCTAACATGCTCAGGATGATTCAGGATACCTCAGGATAGCACGGAAAAGCATTCCTGTATGATGACAGGGCCAAGTTGTTTTTCACCACCACATGTTGGCACCAAATGTTCGCCTCGTCGCACATACCAGAGGAGGCAGGGAAAACAGACTTGAGCCTGTGGAAAGCACCACGGCTGCTTTGCCGAGCATCCACCTTGGCCCGGACCCGCAGCCGTCTCTCAGGTTCCGCAACTTCCTGGTGGCCGAGAACGAGCGGAACCGAAGCCGCTCGGTATGGAATTGGGAAAGCCTGGCGGCCACAGTCCGAAGCGGAGTCCATGTGTTTGGAGATGAAGGGGCGCTGAACTTGCCAAACTTCGATCTCACCCAAGGCAGACCTCGATCCGAATATATATATTATATATATATATATCAGTTCCACTCCGCCAGGGCCTGAAGAGGCTTTAGAATCCATGTTTGGACGTGTGTTTTTTTTAAGTCAATATATTATATATATATATACATTGGACCAACATCAACAACAACCAGACTACCGTAGGTCCCTCTTGTAGGTCCTAGCCCTAGTTGTGATGTTTTGGATGTTTGATGTGTTGTTCAAGATTCTTTCACCACATTCTAGCACATTCACACACACATTCCTCAATATCCACCTACAGCCACCAACATTCCGAGACATCCCAACAGACAACAAACCAAAGCATGTGAACTCACAAAACACATTTAAGAGACTTTCTCTCCTAACTCCTACAGCAACTTTCATGGGGGAAACTTGCCCTTCTCCTCATGTCCTACTTGTTCATTCTCACTAGAACTATCACTCATGACTCATGCCCAAGTGTGCATTCCAATCAAGGGCAGCATAATCATAGGATAACCATGAAATTCTCGGTGCAGCATCTGTCAAGTAATACAGCGGAATGAACTTCTAATTGCATGACCATGTGCATGACAGCCGCGGTGCCTCTACCCCCGCTGAACCTCACGAGCTCTCGGTGCCGGTGCTTCGTCCGGATGTCGCAGGCGGTGGCAGCCGTCAGACGGATTTCTTTCGCTTGGCCGGGAGAGCTGAGATGGGATCGGCTTCAGATGACCTGTGGCCATACTTGGGGTTCGAGACACCGAGAACACCGCTCAATTCCGCCGCGTTGAACCCACCCGAGCCGGGTCGAAGGGTGTTGGGCATTTCTCCGAAGGGTCAGATGCTTGGTCTTGGATTTTGGAAGGTGAAGGTGTATGACCGACATGTCGAGACGCCCCCATCGTTGGCTTGAACAGAGAAGCGTGGATGATTCGCATCGCAGGGTCGAAGGACTTTTTTCCCGCACAGAGCCAAACATCTATCTCATGAGATGGACCAAAAACACAAAATACGCAAGTTGGATCATGAATATTGAAGGAATTCAATCATCCGCGCCCATCCATAGTAATATCCATCCATATCCATCCATTCAACATCCCAACCCTCAATCCGTCCAAGCTCGAACACGATCCTTTGGGAAAAAGGCAACTGACTCAATCCTTGCCTCAGGTCTACCGACAGCTGAAAGCGGTTTCAGCCTTTCCGATCCAGGCGGCGAAACCGCCAGGAAATGGTGTACCAGTGGTAGGAGGTGGAGATATTCCCAGGGATGGACTGAGATGAAGATGGAGCAGGTGGACACCAATGATAAACCCCTAAACCCGCGTGCCCGAAGAAGGATTGCGATGGGAAAAGAAACCAAGTACCTCCCACTCACAGACATGGACGTGGAAATCCCCGTGTTCGTGGAGCAAAACGGTCTTCCCCGGGGTCATGCCATCCTCCATAGTGGGTCGGGGAGTAATATGGCCACGCCCCTTGAAACCAAGAGGAATCCTTAGAATAGACAGAGGACCACTCAGGGCGACCATGGACCCGGAGATCGCTTTTTGATCGAAATAGATCGAAACATCACAACCCCCCAAATCAACATGCTTTGGAGTGGGAGCCTTGAAGCAATTCTAAGAACATCCTCTCTTTTGGAGATCACTTGAGATCCAGCCCCTGCATCTGTCAGGAGAACCTGTCAGCTGCCATTCTGGCGGCCTCAGAGGCCCAGGCCCGGTGCCCTGTAATAGCTCGCTGCACATTGAGTTTTTGCTACTGTCTTGACTTGAACATTTCAAGTTCCTTTTTCCGAGATGTTGAGCTTTTGATTTCGGTGTCAAGGGTTTCTTTGGGTGGTTCGTTCCCAGAGATCTACTGTCTTAGAGCCTTCGCCGGTCGACCTGTGGACACATGCTCCGAGAATTTTCCCTTGATGTAGGGACTTCTGCTGATGAGAGTTTGACTCATATGGACCTCTTGACCGATCTGTTTGGACGTGAAATCGTTCCAGGCCAACAAAACCTGGACCCACGAGTGTTGAAACTGGATCAGTGGAAAAACAGCAGTGAACAGCATGACTTCGTCATGACTTGTGGTTGCTTAGCCTAGATCCCATCCCATCCCATCACTGATTGGGCCTGACTCCTGTGTCTTCCTGCCTCCAGTGCAGCTCTTCCCCCGCTGCTTCAGGCCGCCCTGAAGCAGCCCAACCTGAGTGACCGGGACATGGCCGATGGCCTACGGGAGCAGGAGCTCTTGGAGGCACCGGACGGCTGGATGGGCGTAGGAAAAGGGTGATTTATTTTGGCCCGGATTGATAGAGGTCGATTGGGTTGAATCATGGTTGAGGTGTCGAGCATGGTGATTAGGATGAATCACGGTGTATTTAGGAGATCAGTTGATAGGTTTCCGGCAGAGCTTTGCTGTGGAGAAGCTCTACGTAGCCCATGACATGCCCGCCGGAGGGTCAGTGCCCGCCTTCGGAATCTTCTCTTCGAGTGGGGTTCACTTTCTTTTTGGGTTCCTCCAGCCTGAAGTGAGGGTGCAAGAGCAAGCTGCCGAAGAGCCAACTTGAGGCTTCGGTGAATCTAAATCTTTACTGTAGATATCTTAAAATGACACCCCTTAGATCCCCTCAGAACTTTTGGCCCAAAACCTCCCACATTTTTTGTTTGGCAAGCCCCACCCCAGCAATGTGTTGGGTTTTGTTTGCCATTTCTTCCCATACCCAAACACTCCATGTATGCCATATATGCCTACATTGACCCAAACCACCCCAATGTAAGCATGGCATACATGGAGTGTCTGGGATATTGGAGAGCCACCGTACCGCCACTGGCAGGGTGGAGCACGCTGGCTGTGCCTCATGCTCAAGGTCCAGGCCTTCAGGGTGGCAGGATGCGGGTGTTGGCATATACTCCCCTGCAGAGGAGGCAATGTTGGAATATGTTGAAGCCGATTTCAGCTGTGGATTCATCCTGCAGCATTTTCCCCAGACGTGTGAGCCGTGTAATGCCGTGTGGGACGCCACAGAATCGTGACATGTGGGTTGAATTCACTCTATACCCAGTCAGTGGATAACCTTTAGAATCCTTTCACATCCTTCAGCCCCTTTTGATCAGGTTTCCCCTCAAGAACAGGTGCGCTTGGTCGAACGGGTTGAATGCGGACTTGTCTTCCGACTTCCACCTCGACACGTCAGTCCAACAACTCGACCAGATGCTGGACCGGAGCCTCGACGTCGTCGTGGTGCGGTGGGTTCCAGGCGGTGGCGCCTCACCTGTTCCCAGCGAAGAAGCCGGTGCGGCTCGGGCGAAAGGAAGTGGGGCACCGCGAAGCCGGTGGGTGCTGGGCCGAAAGCGGCCGGGATCCGGCCACAGCAATCATAGATGTTTTCGGTTTCAGCGGGGAATCCCTGTTACAGCAGGACACCTTCGAGAAATCTTCAAACCAGCAAGCGATTGGACGAACAATTCCGGGCCGTGACTCGTTATGCCTCGGGGTCTGAATTTTTCTGAAGACTCTTGTTGCGGCGGTGCTACAGGGCTGACAAGACTCAAAGCTGAAAGGGAAATACTCGGAGCTCCATATGATGGGCGGAGGCCTGAAAACATCGCTTCCAAGTGGATGAGATGATCAGACTGGTGCAGGGAACCAGTCGGAATCCAATGAGGTTTGTTTGGATCCAGCCACCCTGATTCCGAGTCGCAGTTCTGTAGCAAAACGCCTAGACCCCAAACCACAGCCAAGATGAAGGTGAAGCTTACCTTCCTCCAGAAATCGCATGCGTCACCAGGTTCTATCTACTTGGCCGGATTTTTGTGCCTTCCAGTTCCAACCCCCGGGCACGGGGGCAGCTTGCCGGAACGAGTGCCGGAACGAACCAAGGATGGAAAAGGACAAGTTGAAAGAGAGGTGGCGCGTGCGACCTCCGGAGTTCGGTGACCCGTTGGGTGCGACCGAGAGATCGGTCTCCACCTCCCCAGCAGTGAGCGAAATGACGGGTGAGTGCACCAGAGTGAAGGAGCCGTCCAGAGTGCCGTCCTGCTGTTGAAGGCTCTTAGATGCTCTTAAATGCTCTTAAGGCTGTTGAAGGCATTTGAAGGCTGTTGAAGGCTGTTGAAGGCTGTTAAGTGCACATTTGGCGTTGGCCTTGACATGTTTCGCCCTGTATTTAGAGCCGACGTGCTTCGTTCGCTCTTCTGTGCAATGATCCGTTCACGCACGAACTCAGCGAGTCAGTCGATGTCAAAGGTCAGTCCTTGGTGTTCTTCCCATCGAACTGGCGCCGGTTCGGCAGGCTCTCCAGCAAGGGCCGGAGGTCCTCCATCGCACAAGCGCTGGGGAGGCATGGCAGCGAACCCTTCCAACTGCACAAATCCGAAGCCAATTCTTCACATGTTCCCACTGCACTGGTTTGGGGGGTGCTCTTCATGGATCCAGTGATTCAGACCTTAAAACGGTGCTTCCACCGTTTTCACCGACCTAGTCACTGGAGGTCTCATCTTCAAACGACTTAAGATTGAACCAGGCGGAGACACAAGGAGTCACAAGGATCATGCAGATCGAGGCTTGGAACCAACTCAATTCACTCCAAGGATCCAGTCCAACACCGATCATTTAACACATTCCACTCCAACTTCTTCATTGTTGCAGCTGCAGCCCAGTCAATTTCAAAACTTTCGACGGATGTTTCATCCGACACTTCTGACCAGAAGTCACGCATCCGTTTTCCGCCCTTGTCTTTTTGGGCGTCTTGGACCCTGAAAAGCTCTGTGCGTGACGCGTGACGGGCTGCGCGCACGCGGTGCGCGCTGGCCGTGCGATCAGACGCAGCTCGCCGATGTCCGGAAACACGTTGGGCGACGCTGGGGAGCCCAGAGGCCGATGACAGCGACCAGTCACCAGGACTCCTTGATGGTAGAAGCTTGATTTAGACTGCCCAAATTGGGATGAACAAGAACCTTTGAAGAGGCTTGTGGTTTTATTCATCCAGAGATGTCAAGAGTCGACATTTGCTAGAAGAACCCCTGGGCCACTGGGGGGGTTCTACAATATCCACCCTGTGGGTCGTAGCAAGGTTCATTTTCTTGGGGGTGTGGACACCGCTAGTGAACACCTCTTTTTTTGGGTCGGCACCCCTGAGTTCTCCAATGAGCAGCACCTCACAGCAAGTGTCAACTGCAACATGTCGTGCCCCCACCGTTGAGTTTTGAGGATGGCTGTTTATGGTCCCGCCCAGTTTCATGCGGGTTTGGTATGTCTAACAGAGTCTAACTACAGTCTAAAGAGTCTTGAAATGCAGCTCCAAGTCCAATGGTTCCTCAGTTCCTCTGTGAAGATGATTTATCAAGACGAACGCCCCCGCATTGGTCCCAGTCCACAAGGTGCCGGTCCGAAAAAGGGGGAGCACACCGGGAACCTGCCCCGCCACGAAGGCTTTGGAAGGCCTCAAAGAATAGTCGCTCCGGCCTGTGGGCATGAGGATGAGGTGCAGAAAAGTGAACCAATGTGAATGTGCTTGGTGATTTCGGTTTCCATGCCTGTTTGCTTTCAAACTGGGAGGTTTTCTTTAGTCCCCAATGACTCCTTGACAGATCCTGTGAAGAAAAAACAGCTTTTTTGAGCTGCGCTCATGTGAATGGCCATGTTCAGAAGGGGAAAACTTGTGGAAGAAGGAATCTGTTGGACCCCTCCCTGGCTCCAATTGCGGGAAACCAGCCCTTCGTGGTCGGATTTCATGGCGGGGAGGCCAGCTGTTTCATGATGCTTGGAGGGAGGGCGTGTCCGAAAATCCGATTGTTTGAGCATGCTTTGAGCATCAGACAACTCTCGAGTTTATGACTGCGCCGTCCTCTCGGGCTCAGTCCTCTTGAGTCATTGGCTTGGGCTCTCTTGACTCGGTCCGTTCGTTTCGCAAATGATACGCAAGATCCAACCGGATCCAACCGGTGTCCCCAGCAAAGTAGGCAGATGATAGTCAGCCCCCATACAAATGGCTCCAAAAGTCTTGGCAAGCGGCAAGCACATGAGCTGAAATATTGGAGAAACCTTGCCCAAAGCATCACTGCTTTTAATATTATATATAGCCCAGATGAGCGAGCAGCAACAGCTTTGAGCGAGGAACATCGCTTTGGAGATGTAAGACTTGTTTGCAATCCAACTGCTATAGGTAACATTGAGCATTTTTAAACAACTTAATGCCCTATAGGCCTATAGGGTTGAAGTTGAATCCGAGTTCTGGCCAAATCTTCGGATGACGAACACGTGGCCCAGAACTCTGGGCGGAGTCGGATCCAGCTTTTGGCCTGATCTTTGGCCGAGGTTTTTCGATCCAGAACTATTCCACATATATATATATATATAGGCACGCCCGGGAAGATGAAACCATGGAACCTGATGGCATGGACCAGACTGGAAGAAGCATTTCCTATTTACCACCCAGTTTTTTTGTTTGGTTCCCTGTGTTTTTTTTTTGCAGGGTTCTGGGTCCAGACCATCCCAAGGCTAGGTACAACAGGTACCCCACAGATCTCTCCAGGTCGCACAGCACAGCATGTAGCGTTCCCTCGGTTCCCCCCATGCCACCGCAGCAGCGCCTGGAGCACTTCGCCCGCGCTGCGAGCGGAAGCGGTCGCCCAGAACTGATCCCCAGTGGTTCCTCAGACCGATCGGAACGTCAGGGCGCGGCGGGGACGGGGAGGAGGGTTGGGCCGGGCAACTCTGGTACAGTAGATCCACCTTGGAAGAGGAGTGGCAGATCATGGAAAATTCATGGACGATCTGCCAGTGGGTTTTGTGTAGATCGCCAAGGGGCGGGTTTGCCTACCAAATGAGGTCCTGCTGGTGGTTTGATGGTGGCCGGACGCCCCAGCACCTTCAATAAAGGCTCAAATAGCCGAGCAGTCAATGAGACTCTCAGGAGAGATGTGTGCAGTGCACCGTACAGTTTCAGGTATGTGTTTGGAAAGGACGAGCAGCTATGTGGGACAAATTGGGATAACTAATCCCCTCCACCTATTGAAAAACACGCCCCCCCCCATTAACAAAAACTCGGGTGCATTTGTTTAAATAGGGGATCCCTGAAATCGGGGTGTCCATATAGGGTCAGTGGGAGGATCCTTTTGAATAGTCATTGATTACATTACATGTGACATGCAGATTTCCTGGCAGGCGCAGCTCTTTGTGAAGTTTGAAGTGCAAATTTTGTGCAGACACCTTAAGAGCTTCAAAATTCAAAACCGAAAAGTCACCCAGGAACGTATTATAAAATCCTTTATTAAACTCGTATCAAAAATTGAATGCACCTCCAGATCGAAGGGCCTTCCTTTTCCCTTGACAAAAACCTCTATTAAAATAGTGACTCTTCTTTAAAGTTGTCCAAAGGTGATGTCGCTGTGCCATGCCGTTTTGCGCTAGTGCGTTTGCGTGAGTCCGCGCCATGGTAGACAGACAGGGTGGACAGAGGTGGGCAGTTAAGGTTGCTTTTGGAACCTAATTCCCCAAAACAAACTACACCAAAATCGGCCATGTTGGCAATTTAGTTTAGATATAGGGAATAATAGGTGTACGTTTTTAAATAGGCACTCGGGATTACACATTACATATTTAAATCACACATGTGAGGTGCTTCACCTATCCGTTACCAGATTATTCCTTAATTTAATGTTGCACAATGATAGGGCATTGAATAGTGAAGATCCCTCCAGCCGCGCAACCGGCCAGAGGTTATGAAAAGCGCTGTGGGCTGCTAAAGTCTGACTGGGCTTATGATGCTTGCCAGACAACGGAAAGCGTGTGAATAACACAGAACCCCCTCAACAGATCAAAACAACTTTCCATCATAAAATGCATTCACGTGGATTGATTTGTCGATGTTGCTCTACGTCACCATACAAGGTCATGACAAGGTCATGGTAAAAGAACATTGAGAATCGCGACGCAACCTTGAGAAGTACCGCAAATCATTCTGCTGGCAGAGCCGGGGTTGGGGAGAACCCGGTGAAACTCTGAAGGGCACGGGTCGTTGTAAGGTTTCAAGATCTTACACTTCCATACCCAAACACTTCCTGTGTGTGCTTGAAAGAGTCGATGTAGGCATGAACTCCGTGTATGGAGCCTCCGTACGTTCTTGTCATTGACAAGACGTGCCATCGAAGATACCCTGCTTCCCTCGGAGTTTCCCCCCTTCACGTTCCCTCGCTGCACCTGCGGACCACAGCGGGACCTCCGTCTAGACGAGTCGAAACACAGAGTGTACAGAGCCTGGCAACTTTAGATCAGCCATGGAGCCATGGATCAACCGCTATGCAAACAGTTGTAAACCCCCAAACAAAGTAACGCAAAAAAAGGAACCTGAACGTGCTGGTTTCCCTTTTAAGTATCATGTGGTATTACTTTTTTCCTCTCTCTCTCTCTGTTTTTTGTGTCCATCCTCGAGGTTCACCCGTTCTTCACTCCATGTCGAGTCAGGAGCACTTGCGGTGGATGATCCAGAAAGACTCGCTTGGACAGGACATTTTTCTCATAGGCCGGACGAGTGACGGCGCAGATGGCGACGGAGGGCGGGCGACGGACATGAGCGGCTTGCGGCTTGCGGAGGCTTCATGTTGGCAGGACACTGGAGCACCTCTTGGTGAAACATGTTCACACAGACTTGGTGAAACATATTCAATATCCAACAACCATGCCAACCATGCAGGAGCAATCCTGAATTGATGCAGTTGTCCAACATTACCCAATACAGTGACATGTGTATAAATCGTCTAGCTGATACGTGTTCCAGTTGCACGTCGACCGTGCACCAACCACAGTCTAAACAAGCTCTGTTCGGAAGCTGCAGACTTGGTGCCTGAGGTGGCTCAGGCACCCAGTCTGAGACACTGAAAAGTGCGTAGACCCTCCCTGTCACACATTCGCTACGGAAGCTGAACACTGCGCCGACACCAGTGACACCAGTGCAAACACGGACTTCTACCGTGCAGCCACGGTCACCTACCGGAGATGGATGGCACGGAATGAGACGTGGTCCAACGGAGTCCAAGGTGCATGAACTGAATCGGCACAAGGTTCATGTTCGAGGAGGATATGGCGGGACACCTTAGACCCATACCAGACATATTATACCACATATCGACCGGATTCGACCGGTCTAATGTTAAATCTTGGTTTATGTATATATATATATATATAAAATATATATGTATGTACTGTACGAATGGGTTTCGGCCCCAGTCATCCTGTTCTAACCAGCCAGTGACCAGAGGATAGGACCAGGAGACAGCGGCAGGTTGTATGACTGCTGTTTCCAGGCTCTCATTCGCCACTACGCCGCTGGTTGGCCTTCCGCTTCTGCGAAGTCCTAGGCGACGGGCCCACACCCTGGTGTCCTAGAGACGGGGAGATGGAGATCTAAGGGGCGGTGGGTCCAGGTGCTTTTCTCGAAACCTTCAACGGAAAAAGCTCCGGTCCTAGTTGTTAAATCCGCTTTTTATTTGGAACGCCGTCGTCTTCTACCCTTGCCACTGCTTAAACAAGGTGTCTTCACCTTTTTTGTGGAGTCGAGGGTTACCTGCCGAGCTGCTTGTAACTTTACCGTTCAGTTCTACCGGTTTCCAGTATATATAATATGTCTATGATATGTCTCTTTGTGCGTAGGTGAGCCTATAGGAAGAAACATAGGCATTTGGGGCAATTCCAGAAATTTGGAGAAGGGGTCCATGTGCCACAGGCCGGGAGTGCGAGTTCCTGGCATTGACTCCGGACACCTCTGAGGCGCCGCGGGAGACGTCCTGACACCTCCTGTGATATATATATATATATAACTATACATATATCATCATTGCCACTGGGGTGGAGGCCATCGCTATTAGGTTGGAGGCCATCGGTACTAGGGTGGAGGCCATCGCTACGTTGAGGCCTTGGACACGACATTTTGCCTCATCACCAAGCAGCCCTTTGGAATCAGGGCACTGCTCTTGGTCCAGTTGACCTTTTGAAGTTCCCAGCACTAGCAATAGAGGGTTCCGACTCGCCATGTTCGACATGAGGATAGGCCGTGATATCGATGAGAGGGTGGTTGATGGTAGTTGATGTAAACGATCCAGTCCAAAAAGATCTTCGCTGCGTCTCAGCCAGGTCTCCGGTCCGGTGATAACAGTAACGTCGACCGGCCACGAATCTTGGAGATCAATCTTCGAAAAGCTTACGCAGAACTTCCAAAACTAAGGCCTCCTCAGAGCGGTGTGTCGATGTTGTAGTGGCGAAGTCGACGTTGTGGTGGCGAAGCTGGCTTCGTTTGGTGTCGACCTTTCTCTAAAGTCCCTTCAATGCCCCAAGGTCCACCCTCCTGGACACCGGTGTTTCAGCTGATTTGGATCACCTCCATGGCCTGGAGACAGGTGGACCTCAAATCCCGCCGCGAGCTCCGCGCCCATGACCGCGGCCTGGGCGTCCAGTGGTTCGACCAGGCGGTGGTCCGAGCTGCGCTGCAGGGGCGCGTGCTGATCCTCGAGGGCCTCGAAAAGGCGCTGGAGGGGACGAAGCGAGCGTGGCGACCCGAGCGCGGTTTGCTGGGCTTCTTGGGCGGCTTTGTCTGACGCGATTTGGATGCCAATAATGTGGGGGGTTTTCTTTAGATGCCAAAATTTGGTTGCAGTTTCTTTACTTTTTCAGGATCGAGGCAGAAGGAGGTGGCCTGAGTGCAAACACAATTATGCTATGTCCTGCACGAAAGACTCATGAGTAGGCTGTAGGCTTGTTAGAGAAGTGATTTAGCACATTCTTGCTACTTCTGACCCACAGTTGCCCATATTAACTGGCTGCCACTGGTGAGCCATTGAGAAGGATGATAGGCTCTTGCTAGAAAGATGCCCAAACTGGAGGAATGGTAAGCTTGACGTCACTGGTTTCGTATGACGCCCCCCACCCCGGGGCCATGTGAAATGACTCACATGTAACAGGCTGAGCGGAATGTTCTGCCGGTGCTCAACAACTTGCTGGAAAACAGGGAGATGCAGTTAGAAGATGGCCGGTTCCTGGTCGCGCCGCAACGTTATGATCGCTTGGTCAAGGAGGGCAAAGACACGACGCAGCTGAACTTGGTTCGAGTGCATGAGCACTTTCGAGCAACTTGGTGAGGGACTCTTGCTGGATCTTTCGTTTTACATGTTTCGACTTGGTGAGGTCTTGATTAGATGTCGATTGACGCCCAGTGTGCCAAAGTGCCCATATACTTTGCCAACGTAACTCGTTGCTGCTCTGCCACAAGTGGCGAACTGCACAAAACCCGCTTGACCGGTTGCCAAAGAACCCGCTTGACCGGTGAGGACGAGCAAGCTGGTCAACCCGCTGTTGTACCGGTTCGCAAACGCAAAGGGTTAGAGGTGACAAGACACCTGATTCCACGGCACTCCGATGTGGGGTGAGTTCTTTGCAGCTGAAGGTGCCATGACACCTGATAGGTCTAAAGAGGTCTAAAGAGTCCCTTTAATGTCATTTTTTAGACGTCCGCAGCTCCAGGGCGACGTTTTATTTGTTCGGGCCTTTTTCGTTGGTTTTCGAATGTTTTAGAATTTTAGAGCCTGGAAGCCATGTATCTTTTTTGGCAGTTTGGGAGGTTCCACAGGGATTTAGACATGTTCCATGTTCCACATCACTGGAATTGCACGACCTCTTCATCCAAAACAACTCCTTGGCTCAGGTCGTGGCGCTGGGCGTTCCATCGCCACCCTTCCCAGGGAATCCCTTGGATCCCCCGCTGCGCTCGCGCTTCCAAGCGCGGCACGTCGCGCGGGCACCGGCCGCGGTGCTGCTGCGGCAGTTGCGGCGGGAGGCGCCGGCAGCGCCGGAGGCGGCGGTGCAGGAGTTGCTGCGATTTTACGAGACGCTGTGGGAGTCTTGGCTGGAGAAAACAAGGGTGAGGGAAGGGAGGAAGTGAGTTTCATCAAGCAAAATTGGAACCCACCCCTTGATATTGGAGAGGTTTGGCACTAGGGACATCTACCGGCCAGGGTGGAGATGGGTGGAGGGTCTTTACAGTCAACAGGCCACATTGGGTCTTGAACATCTTGCAGGTTAAGCAAGTGGTGATGTCAGCTCCTTTTTCTGCCTGTTGGTTGTATGAATGTTGCATCCACCAAATTTGGATGGGAGCTTGTTGTCGAAGAGGCCGCGACTGCTTCGGGCCCAAGAAAATGGAACACCCGGGCTCCTTGGTGGGCCAATGAAAGCACCTGAAGGGAAAGTAGATGATACGAATGATACGAATTGGATCGAATTGGTTTGGGGGCCTCATCTCTGAGGCATAGCAAACATCCAATTGATTCAAATTCCTATCTGGCCCATGGCCCAAGCTCTCCCAAGCTGCCCAACTCACCCGTTCCACTGCGTGACACGCCAGCAGCGTGTCACGCCAGCGAGGAGTTGATGCAGACGCAGGCGCCTGGACATCCAGTCCTTGGGCGGTTGGGCCCACCCCAGCACCACCCTTGGTCGCTGAAGAGCTGAAGACGCAGCTGAAGCCTCAAGGGGTTCAGCTTGGTCCACACGATCGAACGTGCAGCCGATCGATTTGTGACTTGCTGGATCTTGCTGGTCCAGCGTGGTCAAACAGACCAACTCTGGAGGCCCTCCACCCCTCATCCATCCAAACAGCATTCTTGTAACCCCGCCATGACCTGCCACACGACCCGCCGGCTTCGACCGCTCCGCAGATCTTGGCGCAGGCCTCGGCGGCCGGGATGGAGCTCCGTGCGATGGCGCAGGCGGCACCGTGCTACCCCTGTGACGAGCAACTTCTGAGCTGCGCCCGGCTCCTACAGCAGCAGCCGGCGCTGCCAGTGCGCGAGGCCATACGTACCTCGGGAAGAAGAGAGTTTATATAGAGGGTGGGGCCCGGGTGGGGTGATGGCTCGGGTGTGGAGGTGAATGAAGATGTGCCACGATCTTGCAATATCAATTCTTGCGCAATTCAGGTCTGGCTCAAATCTTGTGGAATGAGAGCTGAAGATGTTGGGTCCCAAATTTGACTGACACATTCCATTCGGAATGGGATGTTCAGTGGCGCACTCAGTGGCGCACAAATTTTTCATCGCGTGGTATTGCACACACACACACACACATCACCCGGGCAGGTTTACACAGATAATACTAATTTAATATATTTAAGGTGATATGATATATTGTTTTTTAATGCATATTGCTACCGGCACCTTTTGTTTGACAGAATCCATGGACTTCACAGAGTCAGAGATGAAAAACCGATGCATGCAGATACATGGAGGAAATGCAGAATGCACTTGGACTTTGGCCAGGGTGACCACCCATTCCATTGATTCCACTCAGGCCGCATTTTCCCCTTCCAGACCGAGAGTGGGCTCCTCAACACCACTGTCGCCAAGCTGGTCGCTGAGATTCTCCCGCCGGAACCGGGATCTTCGACGTCGCCGGGCCGCGAACGGCGGGGAGGGTCCGACCGGCGCCGCGGTCCCACCTTCGACCACGGGAGGTCCAGGTAGACCCCAAGAGAGGTGAAGTGAAAGAGGGCCCGGTCTACCTGGGGTACTGAACTGGGATAATCGGTCTCGGTTCTGAAAAACCTCTGTTGGTAGCTTATCATGGGATCATGATTCAGAAGGGTTTGTTTGATCCTCCTCGATGGGTAACGGACATAGAAAGCCCTAAGAAGGCCGGCGTATCGTGTGTGATTGAGTTGAAACATATGTGTGTTTTTGATCTCCCCACTGCTGGCAATGTAGGAAAGCCCTGAAGTCAGTTGGCACCACTTAACTCCCGAGTCTCCCGAGTGTTAGGGGTGTTTCGAGGCACTCATGGTCATCCGCACAGGTGGCATTTCACGACGTCTTTCGAAGGTCACTTATACCTTCTGCTCGAAGGTCACCCGACGCCCCTGGCGTACGCCCGGGGAGATTCACATGGAACCTGAACGGCCAGTGGGCATTCAAGAACATAATATATAGTTTGTGTACAGTAGTTGTTTGTGTCTATAGACGAACCAGGAAGGGGGCATGGGTATGTTCATGGATGAAATACCTAGACCGCGGGTGCGGTCTTCCGCAATGTGCAAGCCAGCGGCCCCCCATCTGCCACTAGGTCGGGCGCGGGAACTCCCATCCAGCCGGGCGAAGTGCACGGCGTTCTGCCGGGCTTCCAGCAGCGCTTGCTGGAGGTGCTTCGGGTCTGGTGGGATGGCCCCGAGATCATAGCGTGTTCCCCAAGGCCCAAAGCCAGGAATCGAACATCGGCAAAAACAGAGTAGAAGAGCAAAAGGATACAGTGGTTTCAGAGTAGATGGCACATGATGGCACTGGCACCCCTACATGTCTTAAAAAGATGGGGGTCCATATAAACCACACCACCTTTTCTATCTTGTGCCATCTACTATCTACCCTGAAACCACTGGTAAAGCACACGAATGATGAATCACGTCTGAGCTCTCAGGTGTAGCACAGCGTGGCGTGGCCTTAGGGGACCGAAACTAGTGCGTTTTTCCTGCGGCCAGGAGATGCTGCTGTCCGCTGCGTGTGGGCAAGATCTGTGCTTGATCGGCCCCAAAGGTGAAGGGAAGACCTTCCTGGCACAACAGCTGGCGTCACCTGACGTGATAGCTAGCGTTTGGAGGCGGATGCGGTAGCGGGAATTTAAGCATTTGGAGGTGACGGCCTGTCACTTTGGGTCTGGCTCGAAGAGACCAGAAGCCTGGCTCGAAGAGACCAGCCGCGGGATTTAAGCAATGATTCTAACTAAAGCAGTAATGGTTTCACTAACTTCGACTGTTGCGTCGAAGTAGTGGGTGCCAGGGTGATCTTGGGGGGCCAGTCGTTTGTTCTTGTGAAAACACGTCGTCCATGCGAGAACGTCGTCCGTTGCCAGATGCAAGCGTTTGCTTTGGAGTATCGGTTCAACATGGTTCAACACCGGCGATGACCTGGGATGAAGGATGGATCTGAGGTGAGTTCCTGGGACCCGGCGTAGCCAGCGTAGCCATGGCTACCCCCACCAAACACTTAGTTTGTAGGGAGGTGATCCTCGGTTCGCTGCCCCCCAAACACGTGGAAGCGCGTCCGGGGGAGGGGGGGGGAGGTGCGCATGGGCAACATATTTGTGATGTACAGCGGTGTTCGAACACACTCCCGTAAAGTGTTTTAATCATGGTGTTGCAATGTAAAACGGGTGACTTTAAGCCGGGCGCCGGGTGACTTCTCTGAAATGCTGCGTTTGTAGTTTGAGAACGGGCTAGTCTATATACTTTTTAAAGTATGGCTTTTGAACAGGATGCCCCGATTGACCAGGAAATCCTTGGGGCATGCACGGATCTACACCCTCTTCCTCCACGAGGAGATGACCGCACGAGACCTCTTCCAGAGGCCAGATGGGTACAGAGCTGGCTGCCGTGGTTTCGGACCACATGCACCCAAGTTAACCTCTGGTTTCGACCATTTTCCTTTACAGCCCAGTGGTTGTGGGGGTCCATGTTCATTTGCAGGAAAGAATCAGAAATGGAAAGAATTGAATGCATCAATCTTTTTAAAGGTGCCCAGGCTCAGGGCAATCAAAGAGAGCACTTTAGGAGTTTGCATTCAACTTCTGCTTATTGAAGTAAACACTTCCTGCCGCCCAAGGCCATCTGAGGGTCCCCGATGGGCAGTGCAATGTGCTCCTTGTGGCCGGACACCGCTTCCTCCCGTCCGCCCCGCGCACCTCCCCGAGGCGCAACACCAATCGTCAAGGCGAGAGCATCTGGGAGGGCTCGCCCTTGTTGCAAGCCATGGAGCGGGGCGGTTTGTGTGTGCTGGATGCTAGGGCCTGCTAGGGGCTTGAAGTGTGCAAGGTGTCTCAGAAACGTGCTTGAGAGACCAACAGCCGATGGTTCTTCCCAAGAGCATCCAAAAGCATGTATTGGGTGTATTGGTGCGTGTTGCGTGGGTGAGATAATTCTTGGACACCTGGACACTTGGTTTTCTTTGTGCCTTGTTCTACTTCGGCCTCTGCCCACCTACAACCAAACATACAATATACAATGTACATGTGCAGACGGACTACAGTGCTGGTAAACTGTTAGCCTTGGTCGAAGAGGTCAGGCCTTCAACTTTGACATGACACATGACTTACCATAAGGATGGATTGCAGCAACTACGGCCAATGACTTTGGCAGCCTTGGCGCCATTGATCCAGGACCCTGCAGAAAACACACGGCTTGCACCGGTGAATCCCAGTGCCCACCAGGATTCCCAAAGAGGGGATGGTGAATCGAGACCCCTTTGCCTCCCCTTGGGGCTACGAATAGACATCCCTTCTTTTGGGGTCCTGGTAGTTGACTGGTTGAAAGTGCAGATGTTCCAGGATAAAAGCAAGGAATGGTAAACAACCTTAGGGTGATGGGTTGAAGGAGCACAACCCCTCAACCCTGGCGTTGGCTTTGAAGACATGCCTTGACTATCAGAGCCTGAAGGACCGTGAAGTCACCCTCTATGACGGGCTTCGCTTCCTGTCACCCTGGCGCCAGCAGCACCTGGCGCAGCGGTCTTCAGCCGCCACGTCGCGCGCCGACGTGCGGGTGACGCACCCGAAGTTCCGGGTGCTGGCGCTGGCCACGCCCCAGCGGCACGCGCGGCTCGGAGATGGCAGGGGTACACCGGGGGCAGTGGAGCAGTTGGCTTTTTGAAGAGATACATGGATGCGAAACGCGGCAGAGTACCTGGTTCTGTGCCAAAGTGTTCTTACTGGTTGTGGTCAGACAGTGGTTGCATTCCACATTCATGTCATAGTCGTGATGTCACATTCATGCACCATCATTCACAGCGAATCCCATCAAATCCCAGCACATCTGAAGTTGATCTTAGCGCTTCTGAAGGAAGGGCTGGCTCAGCAATGAGATCTTGCAGCTCTTCCACTTCTTCACGCTGCCACGCCGAGCCGAGCTGCTCCCAGTGGTCTCCGCCTCTGTACCGCACTGCCCGCGCGCGGTGGCCGAGAGGCTGCTGCAGCTTCGCACCAGCTTGCTGACTGCCTCGCAGGACTCCAGCTCACCCTTGTGGTCCGGGAGCAGTCCGTACCTGAGGGGGGGGGAACAAAAAGCAGATCGGAAAGAGGGTTTTTGGAGTCAAACATGGCATTACCTAGCATAGACTCAGACTCTTGAAAAAATGTCCCTGCATATATTTAAGAGGTCCTTTCAATTCCAAACGGGAGGTTTGATTCATCAAGCGTCTACAGGAGGCGCTCCTCCCTCGCCTGGGTGTTTCCGTTTTTGGATCACCCCAAACTTCCATGACAGCTTGCTCCAACGCTGAGGTCCCATGGACCTGCAGGGTGCCATGACCCCCACCGTGATGCTGTCGCTCCGCTCGCTCTTGCGTGCGGCTCGCCTGGCTGCTGAGAGCTCGGAGATCGCGGACTACCTGCAGTCGGCCTTGATGATGGACTGCAGGGGGGGGGGCGTTTTGGCGGTGCCCCTGGCCATCCGGAGAGCAGTGGAGGGGTTCGGAAGTGCTGGAGAGGGTGACCAAGATGACCACCATGGTGCACCAGGCTCCCGGAAATCGGGCTGCTTAGGATCCAGGTGTCAGTGGGTGTCTCAGTTGCTGATGTAGCTTGGCATTATGCCCTTATCAGGATCATCGGCATGGATAGATCTGGATAGCTGGAAGTATCCATGACCATCCGCCAAACTGGAAGGGAAACTTATCTCCTTTGAAAGGTGCTCTAGCTGTTGAAATCTCCGAACCGGTTTCGCATCCCACGTGAACCCCTTGCATACCCTTGCCCCCTCCACGAGCCACCCCAACCCACCTCCATTCGCGATGGACTAAGCTGCCCTGCCAGGACTTCCTTCCCTTGGCCGAGCGCACGGCCGTGCAACAGCTTCTGACAGCCTGCGGCTTCGTGCCGCGCGCGGCGCCGGAACGCCTGGTAGAGGCGGAGCGGATGGTCATCGAAGCGCCAGTCGGGCAGCCGAGGGGTGGCCGGAACGGGGGCCGGCGCCTGCCTGGAGTGGGGGCACCCTGTGGAAAAGTGGTGCTGAGTTTCAATGAAGCACCACTATAGCCATGATGTAGCAATGTAGAAGATGATTTTGGATGGCAGAATCTGCTTGGAGCACCGGTGTCTGTGGACTAAAGAGTTTGCACACTAGCTTTGCGGGATACTCCCCATCGGGTGATGTGGATGTTCTTACCAGTTCTTCCGACACGCACCATCTGCTCCCGCGGGCTCATAGGGTCTTGAAGAACCTGCATGCCAGGAATTTAGGGGAAGCTCCCACCTCCCACACCTTTCGTGGGTGAGGGGAATCTGATATTTTTGTTGGCTCGTCTATTTTTGAACATTTGTCAGACTTTTGGAAGGATTGGAAGGATCTCAAGCAAGACTTTTGGTGAGGGGGAACCTGAAAGGAGACCAAGAGATGGCACCTATCAGAACCTCACGCCATGTGCGGCATGTTCGGTCAGCGATCTTTCGTGTTCGTGTTCGCGCCCCGGATTGGTCCCAACACGATCTCCGATGCTGGTGGGACAGCTGGCACTGGTGGGAAGGAAGGTTGGTCGATGTTCACCTCCATTTTCAGACTCTGACTCCGGGCCAGTCCTGGGGTTGAGGGTGTGAGGTGCGACCGGAGGCCGACCCCTGAAAACCTCTGACCAACGCTTGGGGCGGACGTTCCAGGAGAGGTTGAAAGGACATAAAAACGCAAGGTGTCAGAAGGACCCTTGATGATCCTTGTGACTTGTGACGCCTTTCCTTTTTAAGGTGTCATAGAGTCATAAAGGATCCTTGTGGCATCTTGTGACGCCTTTTGTTAAGGCCTTTCGAACCTTTCGAACCTCTGGAAGGTCCGCCGCTCCACCATTCGGAGTGTTGCCTCTTCAGGACTTCCAACAGGCCGAGCCCACGCTGCGCATCGGCTCCGCCCGGTGCCGCGTGGCGGCGCCGCGGGAGAGCGCGCTCATTCCGGAGCGCACGATGGTTCTTCGGGGCTGGATGGGGCTGGCAGCTTCGGATTCGGTGGGGTTAGGCCGGGAATTTCGAGAAAGTTTGGTTCCCAGATGGTCACAGACTTCTGAAACCACTGCAGCTTGAGGCGCAGCAGCGATAGCAATTAGTGGTACAAAGAACGAGATAATATCTGGTGGGTCAACCCAGACTATATTTTTGCATGTGTTGTTCAGTGGTTGGGGGTGTGGCTGACGGCGGACTCTGATGTGCAAGGAGACAAAGTTCTTCGACAACCCTCAGCAGACCTTGTCCTTGCATGATATGCTGCGTGACATGGCAGCTGGTGAGAACCTGCTGCTGATGGGAAATCAAGGTGTTGGCCACTTTTCAGCATGGAGCAACAAGTGAGATTTATGTGTGTGTGTGTGTGTGTGGCAAGACCTTAAAACTGTGATTGTCATGGCAAAGAATGCTTCAGATGCTTCATCTATAGGTCATCTTGGATTCCAATAGCAGGAGAACACGTCGCGCGCACCGCTCGTGCTTTCAGTGGATCACCACTAGCTACCCCCTGGTAGACGTGTGCAATCGACTTCTTCATCTATGCCTTTGCTCGTGCCACTTCTCCAGTGGGCCCAGGCAAAAACAAGCTGATTGATCGTCTTTTGATGCTCCTCCACCGTGAGCGTCACTCGGTAGAAACTCCCTGCGCGCGGCTGGGTTCGTTTTGCTGTTGGTCGATCGTGTTTCAGATTCCTTTGATGTACCATGCCCTTCCAGGACCTGCAGCTTTGAGGCGAAAAACCACTGAGGCTGACTGTGGTCCACACCCGCCGTTCACCTGAAACGCCCCGCTGTTCGTTTCCTTTGGTGCCAGGTGAGTATATCCAGCTGCATCGCGACACCACGGTGGGGTCGCTGACCTTAGTCCCCACGCTGAGGAGCGAGCGACGGGGCGCGACCGGTGGGGGAGGTGGCGGGATCGTCCGAGCCTCGCCCGGGGCGCTGGAGGTGAGTGAAGCAAACTCGCCCTCACCCCCGTGGAAGTTCGATCTGTTTCTGAAGACTGGCCACGTAGTTGGGGCCGGATCCACTTACGGTGCTTTCAGAGGCTCGATGGCACAACCCCAAGAGGCGGTGAACATATGGACCCCCATCTAAAAGACATGTAGGGGTGCCAGTGCCATCTACTCTGAAACCACTGTAATTAAGGTCACTGATCTGCTGGTTGATGTGAAGTCGTTGTACAAGGTTGCTTCATTGAAGTGCGGTAATTCAAGCACATCTGGTCCACGAGCTCCCTGTTTCCTACTGGCATCCCACCTTCAAACGCCACACCATCCTCGCTGGCACCAGTGCTTGTTTTTGAGTTCCCCTTTCAATCCTTTCATCCGGCAGGAGCCATTGACAGTCCGAACAATTTCAATCAATTTCCATCTACTTTGCAGGGTTTCTGTAAAGAAACAACTCAACTCGGACCCGTTCACTGACCAGCCTGGAATTCATCCCCACCTCTCGTGTCTCTCCCCTCATCTCTCAACCGTTCCGACCGTCCTCGGTGTCCTCCGGTCTCCCGGTTCGGCACACCGACGCGGAGGAACGGCCTGGTGTGCTTCGATGACTCGCCGCTGGTGAAGGCCATGCGCTACGGCCGGGTGCTGGTCATCGACGAGTTCGACAAGGCGCCCACCGAGGCTTGGGCGGAGTTCGGCGGCTGGGGCGAGGCCGGGAGAGCCCGGGAGGGCACGGCGAGTGACGCGCGGAAGGCTGAGAGGAGACGTAGACTAGAGAGGAAGAGAAGTGTGGTGCCCAGGATTAGAGTCCTTGCGGATGGGACAATTTCCTGCATGTGGAGACAGACGCCGGGACTACATCATATCTCATCCGTACACCAGGTATTTTCACATATTTTTCGTGTTTTTTTTTTTTTTTTTTTCCCCTGCTGTAGCTGCAATGTACTTGGCTGGGTTTGCCATGTGAAGTGACTTGGCCACGGCTTGCAATTGAAAAGCTGCCATGCTGGTGAGTTACCTTCGCTGAGGAAGTGGTGCTCACTCTGAAGGGGCTTTTGCCACCTCGGCTCTGGTTTTGATTGTCGGGGGGTGATTCGATGCGGCCTTGCTGCCGGAAGCGTTGGTCGCACGCACGTTCGGTCAACCCTTCAGACCTTCGCGACCGGTCGAGCCGACTGGGCGACCGGTGGGGAGCAAGTCGACGGGTGAGTCAGTCCTGAGTCCAGACTCCAGACCCCGAAAAGCCGGAAGGGCCAAGGGTCGTTGGTGGAGGGTCGGTCCAGTGGGTCGAGGCCTTCAGACCAAAGGGTCGGTCTAAAGTCTCCGAAGCGGAGTTGGTGGGTCGGTGGAGGGTATTGGAGGGTCGTTGGCTACGAAGGCAAGATGGCGAGATGATCCTGGTGGATGGGCGCCGCTTCCTGCGAGACGGACGTCCGGAGGACGCCGACGCCGTGGGGATTCATCCGAAGTTCCAGGCCGGGGAAGACATGGAGATACACTCTGACTCACTAACATGGAAGTGGATGGCATGGTCCCTTGGAAGGCTACTTTCCTTTACAAACGGGGGGGTCCACTTCCATGTTAGTGAGTCGGAGTGTACATGGAGATAACAAGGGAGGTGCAGGGTGAAAATGGAACATGAAAGAACATGGATGTACATGGCATGAGGAACCGGACGCCAAGATTGAGGGTGATTGTGTGGGACCCCCTAGTTGTTAGAAGATCTATATATATATATATATGATATACACATACATAGAACAAGAGAAGAGTGAATGAGAGTGGATTAAACATGCATGTGTTGGAAACCATTTCTGTCATTTTTAGTCTACTTTTTAGTCTATTTGGGCTCAACTGGGTCAATTGATTGGAGAGTGCCAATGAGAGTTCGTGCAGCAAGCCTGGAGGGCACCCACAATTACACAAAACTGTATGCATCTCCTCCAAAAGAAAGATCCGCATGATTCATGATTTCATGCCATCTTTGACTAGATCACAGTCCAAGAGAGCTCACCATGTGATACACACCTGGAAACCCACACCACCAGAAATCATGGAGGTTTCCCAGTCGGTAACCACTTTGTATGCAGAGGATCTTGACTGCAACAACCAGTTCTTTCTGGTTTGATAGGTTTCCAAGCATGGATCAGCATGGCACCTTGCCCCCTACGGCCTGACTCTTCCACGCAGGTGGTGGCTCTGGCGAATCGACCTGGCTTTCCGTTCTTGGGGAACGACTTCTTCAGAGAGATGGGCGATTGCACCTCGACCGAGGGAGGAGATCATTTCTTGAATCCACCAATATCGCCAGTATCCACCAATATTACTACTATGAGTATCTATATGAGTTTTTTTTTGGGCCTTTATTTTTACAGCATTCATCTCGACGAGAGGGGACGAATCAACAAACCAATCCTTCCATGGCATGTCGCACATCAGCGCGTCTCGCTCCAGGCTTCGCGTGCCACGCGATCCAAAACCCCGACGAGACGTCGGAGGTGGCGATGTTGCGGCACCTCGAACGGTTTGGGCCGGGCCTGGCCGCGGATGGAAAACGGCCCCGAGTTCGGATGGTCCTCATTTGAAATCCGAAGAGCTTAAACCCATGCATGCTGGGGAACCCCACTCCCATGATGGTCATCCAGGGAGTTGTGTTCAGAAAAAAATGAATCTGGCAGGTGGATGCATCAGTTTAAACTATAGAGTTTAAACATGTTTCCCACCGTCCCTCTTAACATGCATTTGGAAGTCAAGCCTTGGGCAGACTTCCACCTCACCAGTTCATGACCTCCACCAGCCGCCAGGGTGGGGGTCGTTTTTCTGTTTCCCCGTTTCACGTGGCGCGGGCAGAAGCACAAAGGGCTCCTTCTGCCTCCCAAGGTCGTACGCCCCCTCAGTGCCACTGGACTTATTGCGACTCTTGTCCTCGTGCTTTGGGGAGTTGAGGCAGATGGTCGAGGCGCCAATCCAATCTCTTTCAGACTTTAGTTCGTGAATCAATCGTCATATGCAGAATGGTTGCGAGCCCGGCACACCCCGTATATCTATCAGAGGGGTGTTGTATGGTTTTATCATGTTTTATCCACACATCCTAGTCCTAGCAGGGATGTGGATGACACCATCAGGCACCCCTAACTACACTCCAAAGAGGGTCATCTTTTCAACTTTCGCCACCCAACAGAGCTTGAGATCCATTGGAGGGGCACTCTCTCTCTCTCTCTCCAATCTTCCAGCACACGCCGCGTCCTGCGCTAATTTCTGTCGAAGTCGCAGGCTGGAAAGCTGTCCTATCCCTACTCGACCAGGGAGTTGGTGAACCTCGTTCGACATTTGGAGACCTTTCCTCAGGATTCTCTGGCTGAGGTTCTCGATGCTTGGCAGTGGCATCGCGAAAAGGTTCGTCGTAGCACGAAAGCTGCTATAGTAGTCATGGGCACACTAAGTAGAGATGGCCTCCAACCTAGTATAACATCAGTTGTTATTTTTTCTATTTTTTTGTAATTAGGGGGCCCAGTGTGACCACTAGGACACCTAAAAACCTAACTCGTCGCAGCCAAAAAGATCCAACCATAGTGGCGTGGCATGTGATTGTGATTGCACCCGACAGCGGCGTGGTCTAAGCCGAGTGGCTTCCGCATCAGATTCTTTGTCGTCCGACATCCACCTGGAGCTTCCAAAAGGTGTTTGTACCATCGCCTCTTAGAGGCTCTATTTGGGGTGTCCTTGGGGTCGCACCTGACTTGGGGGCCGGTCCGCAGACAGAGAACATCATGCATGAAGTTCCAACACGCTCATCCCGAGTGACTTACGCCGCCCCACCTCGAGGAGAACGTCTTTGCCTTCGACTCGTTCGAGCCGGAGCTCCGGAAGTTGCTCCGGTCCGTCTTCGAGCGCCATGGCCTTCCAGTCTCGACCGAAGCGGACGCGTCTTCGGGCGCACGTGGCGGGCAGCGCCTAGAGCCACGATGGCTGGGGCAGCTGGAGAGGTGCGGGGAGCTGCGGCGCTGGCGTGTGGGAGGCTGGAGATTGAGGGGTGTGAGGATGCACGTGTTATTGAAAGGTGTGCAGGTAGGACGGTGGGAGATGTAGTTGGATGAGATCACTCAGTGTTCGCATCAAACGCATTCAAAAGGATCCACAATGATCCTTTTGTCAGAGAGAGGATATGAGGGTGCTGGCATGGGTTGGGGGAAACCGGGGCCGCGTTATAGTTTCCAGAGAACTTCGAGGTTGAAGCGAAAGTGCAAAGGACGTGGCGATTTTAAAACCGTGAGCTGGGCATGGCACTGCTCCGGTGCAACGTCAGTTCCACTGCTCCACACCCTGAAAGACTCACCAAAAGACTTGAAAACGACCTTCTTTTCCTCACCAGCCAATGGATTTAATTTATATTCTTTTGGAGCTTAGGGGTGGCGAGATGAGAACTTACTCCACCCAGCTTAGCACACCTAACCCCCAGCATTCAGCGCGCAGCGCAATCGCCTAAAGACCCTGATGATGTTCTCAAAGCGACGAGCTTCTTTTCTTCCATGCTTTCTATGTCAGATGAGATCAGTGCCGTCAGCTTTGATGAGATGGCCCCCCTTTGGAGCAGAGAAGCTGCGGAAGGCTCGCCTGTGCGAGGGAGCACCAGCCGATCAGAGGCTGAGGTTGACCAAAGCCTCTGAAGCCATTTGAGGCCCAAAGGTGTGAATCGATGCAAATGGACCTTTCAAGAAACAGCCTTTGAAGAACATCATTGAAACGAAGGACCCTAAGGACCTATTTTCTTGTACTCTGAACTGGTTTCAACCCAGACCATGCATCTGATCTGATGCACTGGGTGCCCAGCTAGGTAGCTGGCAGCCGTTGGAGCTGCATTCGGCACGCTCCAAAGGATTCTCCGAGGAGGACACGCGGCTGAGTTTCGGTGCTCGCCCCCCCAGTCTCAACGCCGAGGCGCCGAGGTGGACACGCTATTAAGATCTATAGTCTATAGGCGGCTACATGATGCGAAGCTAGCGATCTTCAACGCTTCAGCACTCCACAATAGATTAGGTATAGCATGCTATAGTGTGATTGTGGGCGTCTCGTCCTAACGTCGTGTTTTGCAAAATTTGTTGGGTGAAACTGCTCTCATTTGGGCTGATCAGCTACTAAACTGTCAGATGTTCACTTCTCAACGTCGACCCGTCAGCCAGGAGCTTTGGTTTCGCATGGGCTCGGTGACGAAGGAGGGAGTTTTGATCCAAGGTGCCTCGACGGTTTTGGGAGTGGTTTCGGGCTGTTCGGTCGCCGACATCGTCAAAAGCCTACTATCATCGCCTACAAACAGTGCGAGATGCGTGCTACAGCAACTCCGGGAAGTACACATGCATTGAATGTGCAGCTCGCACCGCATTTCCGCGCTGCATGTCGGACTCCTTTGGCGGAGCGCTTACCTGGGGGCACTCCATGACACCAGGTCGGGCATCTTGGGTCTAAGAGGTGGACAATGGATTGCTTGCTGGTTGCTGCTTTCCCGGCTTAGCCATGTAAAACCTTCCACAACTGGATCCTCTATCATCTACTGGCTTCTGGATCGGACATGTTTGGATGGCGTTGGTTGGGCGACTTGCCCATATTGCACCTGGAATCCAATGATGGCATGCATGACCACCGCGGAGTGTGTGGTGGAGTGTTTGTGCTTTATAGTGTTTTTCACAAATCTTCCAGTCTCAGATGCTTTTTGATTGAGCCATTCAACTTTTAAAGACAAGAAATTGCGATGGTGCAGATAAATCAACCGGTGGCATAAGCACTGCACAGACACCCATTCCTGGTTTTCTCCCAGTACTGTGCCACAGTGAAAGACCAGCTGGGCTCAGCGAACAGATTGCCTGATGTTTGTGCATGAAATGAAATGCGGGCTCCTGAAATGTGTCCAGTCCGCGGAACACGTTCTATTCACGAGTCGAGCCAGTCTTTGACTTCGAACACTTGCCGTCGACATGTTCCGAATTAGGTGGTTGTAAAAAGTGCAATAATACCTGCATCTTCCAACTATGCCAAATGTCCGCCTTTTCATGCATAAAAACCAGCTTGAAAGGCAGAAATGTTGCATCGTCTATCTATATAAAACTATATAAATATGTGCCCATCACTCATAATGCTAGAGCTCTTGTTTTCATCCTCCGCTTTCTGGCCGTTCGGCGGCTCGGCCTCCGATCGGCGCTCCTTTCCGAACCGACCGTCGCTGGGTGGTGTCCTACTCGAGCCCCAAAACCACTGAATGGTCGAAACCCACAGGTGAATTCTCGTCCATGTGAGTTTAAGATGGGAGGAAGATGGGGTATGGCATTGTCATTTTTGAATGACCTCGGATGGCACTTTTTAGGGTTCGCTGCGGGCGGCGAAGATCCGCGAAGCGGATCTTCTACTCAACTCCTGTACGGCTCGAACAAATATTGAACCGGCCTCGGTATGAATTGCTTTTACTTCGAGTGATCCCCATTATGACATGCCAATTATTTGTTTTCATTCCATGCTGAGGAGCACGTTGCCATGGTCGTGGGTTTTGTCTTGTCGATTTTCCTTGCGGGTTCTCGGGTTTGGGATTGTTATTTTAGTGTTAGGTAGTCAGAGCCTCAAGTTGAAAACCAACACCACGTGTCTTTACACGCACTTACTGCCTGCTTGTCTCTCATCTCTTGTTCAGTTAAAGTCAATGTCTTCTTCAATCTTTGTATCAGTTTGCAGTGGAAAGATCTTTTGCCCTATTATTGAGTTTTGAATTTGACACAACTTCCCATTTGCCTCAGCAAGGCCACGGGCGCCCAAGACAGCGCCAAAGAAGCGGTTTCACAAGCCGTGCCCTTGGCGACCGTTAGGGTCGCAAACTTGGCATTCGCATCACTTGCTTCTAGCAGACTCCTCACAAACCCGGTAGTTTTGCACGCTCCCTTCATATCTTGTTTTGCCGTCTCCCCCTACTTTCGCCGAGGTCTGCCGAATCCACAAAGGCAAGTGTAGAGGCAAGCGCCGCCGAAGAGGAAGCGCCGAGGCCACACGCACAGAACCATGCTTTGAGAAACATACCATTTCAAACCAGGCTTTGCTTCGACGTGACAACGGGTTAGATTTATCCTTATAGAAATATAGGAGCAATGTCAGAGCTTCAAATTGAAGACCATAACCGCCACTTTGTATTTGCCAGTGAGTCCTTCTTGAACGTGTTGGTCATGCATTGCTCACTTAAAGTCAGATGCTCCTTCAACCTTTGTATCGGCTTGCCATGACCATCGCACGCCAGAAGAAGTTCTCAGTGTGGGAGAATATGCCGCGCAGCTCCCATTGTCACAGCCCCGTACAAAGCAGACCTCAAAACTATGTTTCCCATTTAGGTTTCTACAAAGACCCACCCGTGTCTAAGGTGCTCCCACGAACCAACCGGCCCCGCAGAGCAACCCGGCCAGAACCCACTTTCCAGCAAGGACAGGTTTCGAAGCCAAGCGCATGCAGTCCAACCCGTTGAAGTTGAAATCAATGCCGCCTAGCAGGAACGCAACAGGTTGGCCCGCGCCCTCAACGGCAACACCGCAATGTGTGCCCCTTAGTCCCCTTAGACTTCCCCTTAGTAACGAAAATGGCTTTCCTCGTCGTCATGCTGATCTTGTTTGTAGGTCGCACAACGTGGTGTTTAACCACGCAGACGGGCCGGTCGACATCCGCGAAGTGGGCCCGCTCAAGGTGAAGCTGGAGAGGCCGTGTGGCGGGGGGTGGCCCGCATTTGAAAGCGAAGCAGGGTTTAGACTGTCTTGTTCAAGCCTGTGTTGTGTAGGTGCAGCCGCAAACTCCTCACCGCGATTATGCGGAAGGACCGCAGCCTCTGCACAAAGAAGCAAAAAGGCTTCTATGACTTCTTTTGCGGCCTGGACCTGGAGGCCGGGTGCTCTGTCGTGCTGTTCTATCGTATTCCATCGCGCTTGTTTGGCTTTTTGTCTTTTGCTTTCAGGTTCAGAAGCAGGAGCTGGTCAAGGCCGGGGTCTACGTCTACCACGCCAAGGATGCGGCGCAAGGCCGGGTTCTTTTTCACGACTTTGTTTTGTCACGTCTTGATTTTTGTCACCCATGGCACAGACGCGCAGAAGAGAGGTCTTCTTCCGAGGGCGAAGAGGTGGCGGAGGCGGGGTCCGCCTTATCCAGGCCACGTTGAATCGGCGCGGCTTTGTCGTCGGAAGGACGTTTTGTTCGAGACCCCAGAGTTGACCTCTGTGGAGCCCGAACACTTTTTGGACAAAGACATGCGGGCCCGACGAAACGTCAGCCGAGCCCCTTTACCCACTTGTTTTGTCCACCGGCTTTGTGCCTTCAGGTCGATTGCTACACGCCTACCTCGCCCGCATATGATGCAGACCCCCATGCGGAACAGGCCAGAAGCCAACAAACAGACAGACAAACAAACAAACAACGCTAAAAGTAGGTTCACGGTAAAGAGAAGCATGCGTTGAATCGAACCGTTCTTGTGGCAGGTTCCTTCCCCGGCCTCCCCGGCGTGGGAGCCGGAGCCCACCTCGCCGGCGTGTCCAAGTTCCCCGGCAGACGGGCCAGATCCAGAAATAATTAGAGGCCTGAAACCAAGATTCATGTACCAGCCTATAGCCTTCGCAAGAACTATGTTTTCATGTTTAAAACGCTATGTGGCCCGGGCAGCGGCGTTTGACCAAACAGATGCCTGCTTTCGGTCGGCGGTGGACGTGGACATGACTCCCGACCCCACTGGCTACCGGCGGCTCCGCGCTAAGCAGCCCAACCCCGAGAGGCGTGCTTGTGACACGAATGTTTTTGTCAACTTGTGACTTCGCCTTGCTGTCTGGCAGGCTTTTGCCCTGGGATTGGAGCACCGTCATCCCCGGCGCGCTCAGCTCCAGCCGCGTCACCCGGGAGATCAACTCCACGCTTTTCAGCGTGCGTGCCGGGGTGTCGCCAGGGTCTCCAGTTGGCGTCTAAAAGTGCTACCCTGTGACCACTTGCCACGCAAAATGCCAGACAGGTAGTTATATATTGTTGTGATTGTGTGTTTGTGGGCGTGTTTTGCGGTTTTGTTTGTGTGGTTGTGTGCTGTGGGTGTGTTGTAGTTGTGTGTCGTGGATGTGTGCTGTGGCTGTGGTTGTGGTTGTGTGTGTGTGTGTTGTGGTTGTGTGTTGTGGCTGTGTTGCGGTTGGGTGTTGCGGTTGTGTACTGTGGCTGTGTATTTGTGGCTGTGTCTATTTTTTTGTGTGTGTGTGTGTTGTGGTTTGTGTGTTGTGGTTGTGGTTGTGATTGTGTTTGTGGCTGTGTGTTTGTGGTTTGTGTGTTTGTGGTTGTGTGTTTGTGGTTTGTGTGTTTGTGGTTTGTGTGTTTGTGGTTTGTGTGTTTGTGGTTGTGATTGTGTTTGTGGCTGTGTGTTTGTGATTGTGGCCGTGTTCTATTTTGTTGCTTGCGTGTTGCGTGTTTGTCGTTGTGTGTTGTTGGTTATGTTTGTGGTTGTGTGTTGAGGTCCGAGACTGCCCACTGTGATGTGGCGCTTGCGGTTGGGGTCCAGGCACTGCCCACTGCGATCTGGCACTTGCAGTTGAGGTCTGGTACTGCCCACTGCGATCTGGCGCTTGCTGCTGGGGTCTGGGGTGGAGGAGAAGGAGAAGGAGAAAAAGACGACTTGTAGAGTCTAACAACCCTCACCTGACAGGTGGGGAAATACAGTAAAGAGAGCCACATATACTATAACTACATAAATATGTATGAATGTATATGTAAGACAATGTAAGTAGATCTTTGATTCGTGGGCACCTGGAGTTTCATGTGTTTCGCTTGATTCTGGCGGAAGAAGGTGGGTCCAGTGGACATGAAGGACAATTATGACTTACGACTTTAACTTTCAGGTGTCGAACCTTGAGCATCAGAGTCCGACAAGACATTACCTGGAATCAGACCAGGCCTGCCCTTCTGTTCGTGTTTTTTTCCTCGTTGGTCCATCAGGATCGCGTCTCGGTGCTGAGGGCCCAATCCTTTGACTGGATCTTGGTTGGGCCACTTGCGGTCCATGGCCGCGGTGCAAGGTTGCTTATGCATTCTGAGCAGCCAGACTCTTGGGTTGGCGCGGGCGCGGCGGGAGGATGGGGGTTCGAGCACCCTCTTTTGGTGCCCTACCAGTTACCAGCGAAAAAGACTTGGGTGCGATGGCTTGGCAAGAGCCGTACAAACATGCATTTGTTTGTTTGTGTTGAACTTTTTAAGATGCCTTGGGGCTCTATACTTTGTTTTGTCCACAACGAGGTCATATATCACTGCCGATAGCGGTTAGCCATTGGGAGATATTTGCCAATTGCCACGTGAAACGGGGAAACAGGCTGAGGCCAGTCGTGAAATTTGAAGATTTAAGGACATCCTAGGAATTGAAGTCAGAACCATGCGCTTCATGGGCGCCTAACATATCCAAACAAATGCATCCACAGTGTCACACATAGCTCAGGACCGTTCATCCTACCCCCTCGCCCTACACCAGGAAATCCACGATTCCAAACCAAAATCAACCATGCTCCGCTCCTGATTTTTTAGGATGGTCTTGCATGTCTATGACCTCAAGTCCCAGCAATCCCGCAAGTTCTCCTGGGGCACCAGTGCTGTGCCGGGTTCGGGCGGCGTGCCCGCCTGCTCCGGCGCCAGCCTGGTGCCGGAGCCGCTGGGAGGCCGGTTTCGGTTTTGCTGGAGGGACATGTCGGCACCCGATGTCCAAGTCAAGAACTCGCTGTGCCGTCGTGTTTGTAAGAGAGCTTTTGGGGGTCATTGGTTGGAGAGTAATCAAAAGAACTCTGCCGCAGGTTTTCTTTGCACCTACGATTGGCACCACGAAGCCCTGCTGCGGCTGTGGCCGCGCCAGGGGCGTGCAGAGGCGCTGCGGCTCATGCTGCCAGTGGGTGCCAGCTGCGCTGGGCGGTTGAAAGAGTTGCCCGTGTTGGTCTTCTTCGGAGGGTCGGGAGCCCTGAGGGAGGATGTAAGGGACCATGGAGAAACTTTTGGGCCAAGGTGGCCAGGCGTGGACTGGTGTTTCTCTCGAATCGTGCAAGTCACTGAAGCACGAAACTTGGAAGTTTCAAGTTGTTTTTTGGGCATGTTTGAGATGATGTCGACTCCAATGACGAGTGCAACAAAATGGACGTGCAGCATGTGGAAGAAGTCAGCAGTTCGACCTGCTATTGTCGGTATTGTCTCATTCAACATGCCAGAGGCTGCCTTCAAGGGCCATCATGGCTTTGTTTGTGATCCAAACATGAGGGAGCCACGAAGTAGCGCCTGCTTGGTGGGAAAAAGTTGTTGACAAGTCAAGTGACGCCAACATGGATAAAGTGGAAAGTAGTAGAACGTTTTGAAAGTTTTGCTTACATGTTTTGAATATTCCCCTTGGACGGGTGTTGGCTGCATAGGATGCCCCGATTTGGAGCGCCGCACGGATTGACCCAACTGAGGCAGGAAGTGGTTCTGGTGGCCACGGAAGGTGTCCAAGTAGCCCGCCTTCGGGTGTCGCGACCTGTCTGATGTGGTGTGAATTTTTCACGGCGGAGGGCAAGATTCTAAGATGGGAAGAAGTGGAATGTTGTCAAAGCGTGTCAAATTGATTCAAGCTTACCTGATTTACCGCAATCATTGAGTAAACACATCCACACTCACCAACCCCCTTGATTTGAGCATTCTTTCCCCGCTAGTTGATGCTTGTTGAAGAAATTCTTTGAATGTCGAAGATCTTTCCAGAGAAATGCCTAGCCTGGGCTTGGGACCTTCCGTATTTGACAGTCCCTGGTGCTGGTTTGGGCGATGCGGCGCGGAGCCCTCGTGTACGGGGTGTGAGGACTGGAGAGATCGAGGACATGATGGAGCTGAGTGTGAAGAGACTGCTGCTGAGATGTGGCGAAGTCTTTTGGGAGCTTCAACTGGGCAGTCTGGAGCTCAGGAAGCAGCTTACGGCAGCTGCTGGGGACCTGATCTGAAGTGGAGTGCGGGGCCAGTGCCGTCAATTACCCCACGGCGAAGAGAAATGGGCTTGGGGAGGTGCACCCATAGTCCCCCCACTGTTTCAAAGGCTCGCCAGAGAAGCTTCTCAAAGTTCGGCCGAGAGTTTTGCTTCTGTGCGCGATGGCCAACTGGAAAGCACCTGGTGCCTCATTGGAATATTTTGGAAAGGCCAAGTGCTACTAGCCTAGCTTGGATGTCAGGCCTCCTCAGGCCTATCACTCCCACACGGGCTGGTTGATGATGAGGATTCCTTTGTTTTTTCATGCTTTTTCCACTCCCTCTTCGGGACCTGGTGATTCCATATAGTGACTTATCTAGTTCCATTTGTTTAGAGGAGGGGTATAGGGTGGGAGTTCTTCAGAACTCCACCTTCCACCTTCCACCCACCCGCGTCGTCCGAGCCCCTCGTCGCCAGTCCTCTCAGCGACTTGGTCACACGCGACGTGCGGTGCCGTTTCGACCGGCTCACGACTCGAACGACGAGGTCTTCAGCCCACCAGCGCGTCGGACTTCTTCCACCAGCTCCACCAGCTCCGCAGCCTCCAGCTCCATCCGGTAACCTGGACGTCCTCCACGTCGCCGCCGCGGGCGCCGCTCGCGCCGCCGTCGCTGCGCGAAGCGCTGGGGCCGTGGAGCGCCAGCGAAGCGCCGCTGCCGGAGCTGCCGGAGCTCGCGGAGCTGGGGCGGTGGCCTGGAATTGTTGCATGGGACGACGGTACAAAAACGGTGGAAAGATGGAAGAGATGCTGTCATATGGGTGGAAGATCTATAGTAGGTGAAGTAGATGGGCTATGGTGTTCATGCTTGTCTTGCTGCGTCATTGCATCGTATCGTATCCCTCGAACGGTCTAACCTGCAAGTAGATCCCCTACAGCGCATCACAAGACTGGCGACTTGTTAGAAGCAGCGGTTCGGGCATCTCAATATGGCCAGCCAGTGCGACCGCCGTCGATGAATTGGAATTCTGGTCATTCACTGCTGTGGCCCTCCCAGCCTTAGATCGCTTAGATGCATCATATATGCATTGGAGTTTTCAGATTCAATGAAGGCACTTTCCAATCCTTTTATGATTTCATGCTTGAAGTCTGGAGCCAAAGCTTGGTTTTTCACCTACCGCTGCGATGAGGTTTGGGACCCTGTCGACTGCTACATCCCATGTGATGGCAGCCCCAAAAACAAGCTTTGCACTGCTGGCTGTGGGGCTCAACCTGAACTTGCCCAGTACGCCGAGCCCAGAACAGCAGGTAGAGATGGACGTCGATGGACAGGGCAACCACATGTTTGAAGCTGAGCAGTATCGGAACTTAAACCATTCGCATGCATTTTGCAGAAATGAACTCAATTACCCCGTAGTCCTTCAAAACTGTTGCCGCCCTCAGAACTATTTGAGACTCAGCTCTTGCAGTCAGCTTCGGGCCCAAGGAATACCGACAGCAAGTCATATCACATACTACACGATCGACTTCAAAAGACATTCGATTGACTTGCGAATCAGATGTTCTCATGTTTGCCGCTTGACGGAGGTTTGTTGTAAGGCACTGTGGTGGTCGTCCTTTTTGGGGCGGCCCGTCCTTCCTTGGTCCTTGCTCGGTCCGGTCGTGTTGAGTTTCACTCGCTCGCGCCAAGGATTTGGGAATATCCCAGGCCAGCCTGGGGCAGTTGCAGGGGGCAAGAGCTTCAGAGACCGAACCGATCTGCACCACGCAAATGTGCCATCCCAAACTCTCGACAATCAAGGATATTTCTCAGACCTCCAGGCTAGTAAGTATAGTGAGAAAGGGCCCCTTTCCGATTCACCTGGTCCCTTATACACAACCTCTCGTGGTTGTGTTGGGACACCCAAGCTGCGGCTTGGGCAACTTCTCCTGATCCATCCCTGGAGGCTGGAGGCACCTGCCCAGCTTTTGGCCCAGCTGACCGGAGAGGAGGTCAACATGGAGCTCACCCACAAAATGGTGCATTGCTGGCACCATGCCTCCCAGAGTGTGGAGCTCAGAGGATGGGGGGCGAGGGGTGAGACATCCCCCGGCGCCAGGAGACATCTTCGGATGCGGAGCCTTTTTTTTTCCTCTTTTCCTGGGGGAATGGGTGCATGACCAGACATGGCGAGAACCAGTGAGAGCTGTTCACGATTTTTCTAGAAGGAATGTATCTTACTAATATATTCTTACTCACTGCCCTGAGGTCTCATCTCCATCTTCTCCATTCCGGGTAGCTCGCCCTTGCGTGCCCGCTTCGGCATGGTGTTGCTGGAAGCCTTGGACCTCTCCTCGGGTCATTTGCGACGACTGGTGCTGGGCAAGGTGCCGGGACTGGGCTTGAAGTCTCGTCACCTGGATGAAGGCGATGAGGAGCAGGAAATTCAACAAATCATGTATATACAAAAATATATATAAAACATGTATTTATATATATATATATTCACACATATATATTATATATTTACATAAAATAGATAATAGATAAATGGTTGGTCTGTTGGCTCATAAAACAATCACCCCAGCCCTGGAGATGTAAAGCCCTTTGCGTCGTTTTTTCTCCCAAATCAGTCTACTGTATACTCTATACCTAATTCCTAATCCCTCATGCTAACAATTCGGCCAAAGCTTCAGCTGCTTTGCGGGTTTCTTCATCAGGTACTCATTCTGGCCCTGGTACTGATGGCTCCTTGGCCACTCAGGGCTTGCTCCTGACGCAGCGCAACCCGGAGCGTGGTCGTGTCGAGCGCCTGGAGATGCCGGAGTGCATTGCATGTTGCGAGTTGGAGGCCGGCAGGGTTCAAAGATGTTCAATAGGCTTCATGAGGTCCCTGGCAAGATGCTGGAAGAGTCAAACTCTAACGGATACGCACAGTGGTGGAGGTAGCCTCCCTTTACCATCCTTTACCAACGCGCAAAAACGCACACGCACACACATTCATTCATGTCGATTCCGGTGGCCGGTAATGATTTGAGCCGGGTTCCGTTTATTGCCTATAGGGCTCCAAGTCGGACCCCATCCTGAGATATCCTGAGAATATGCTTTTTCGGATGGTTGAGGCAGGTTTGGGGGTGCAGCAGCTGGTTTCTGAGACTATGGTGTTGTGGCATATTTTTTGGCGTTGCAATTGTCAAATCCAGTGGAGGATGGGCGCTTGGTACTGCTTTTCGCTGATTCCCAGATACGCATTGTCGAGTTGCGCATGGACACCCTAGCTTTGCAAGAGGCCACCTATCGGAACATGATGGGCCGACGAGACGCGGAAGACACAACCGCAGGCAGGACACAGCTGAAGTGTCAGAGTTGCGAAGGTGAACCGATTTAGAGCTGAAGCAGCACGCCCTTGATGTTCAATGTAGATCGATAGAAGAAAACGTGAAGGTATCAACACTTTCCGCCCTTTCCCCATAGCAGGAGATTCCGACGACCCCGAGCTCGACGACGCGGCGGACGACGCCGCCGTGCCCGACGACGACGGCGCCGACGCCGACGCCGGCAGCTCCGGCAGCTCCGGCAGCGGCGGTGGCTCCGGTGGTCGCGGCGGCGGCGGCCGGCGGGGCCTAGGGCGCCGCGGCCGCGGGGGCCGCGGAGCGGGCGGAGCCGGTGGGAGTGGTGGTGCCCGGAGGGAGGTGCAAGAGCAGGCGGGGAAGCTCATCAAGGAAGCACGGGAGCCTTGCTTTGAAGAAGATATTGCTGAGTTTTTGGTGTGCTTGGGAATGGGCCAAGAGATGAAGATGCACTGGTGGTGTAATTAGTATGACAACATATACATTATTGTATTATATTGTATTATATAATACCTTAACTAATATAATCTACTGTATAATCCTTATTGCTATATACACACATGCACAGGTATGTACGGTATGTATATATATATATATATGTATTATAGGATGATATGCATCGTTGTGTTGTTGTGGTGTTTATCCAGGAGAGTGGTGACATTGACATGCCAAGGAAAAGGCCTCCGAAGTGAACAAAGTGGAAAAGATGAAGATGGAGCTGAAGGATTTTGATCATGCCAAGTATGACGAGCTCTTCAAAGCTGTAGCAACTAGCTGTAAAACCGGAATGGCCAGTTTTGTGATGCTTTATATATGTTTCTTTTTCAAAGTTTGGGGGTCCTCCGTAGTTCAGGTGGCATCAGGGCGGATCAAGTGTATACGCACACACACACACACCCTTTTGCTGAAGAGTCAATCTATAGATTTCCCAATGTGTCCGAAACTGATTGGGCAGAGTTGGATTTGAGGCATGTGAGCATCTCCCAGCCACCAAAAAGCTTAAAAGGAAACATTCTCCCACCCCTGTCTTCCTCTACTGTATTCCTCTCTCACCCGACCATCCGCCGGGAGTTCCGCCGCGATTTCGTGGTTCTCAAGGAGAAGGAGATTCTTCAACTCCGTGTGGTTCTCCAATCCATCGAAGCACGAGAGCGCGAGCGCACCTGGCTCCGTGGTAAGGTGGTGCTTGGAATGCACAGGACTGGCGGACGGCCAACGCGCGGGCTTCGGAAGGAAGGAATCGCTCTCCCCCATAAGTGCTGGAGGTCCGTTGGGTGATGTTTGGGTGCTTGTTTGTCTTTGCATGTCTTCAGTTGTCATCTGCACCTAACATCATGTGCAGGAAACACAAAACTAGAATTGACCTATATAGCAAATTTTCCACATGTTGAACGTTTCGAAACTCTTCTTAGCTTTCCGCCGCATGTCTTCTTAGCTTGCCGGGTCCTGATTCACCCCGCCGCGCACCAATGGCCAAGGTGGGTGAATTTGACGACAACAAAATTGTGGACCTAGCCATTGGCGAGAAGAATGTCTTCAAGCGACGAGGGCAGAGAGAAGATCGAAGCTTAATCCAATCCTTGCTCAAGCGCTTGTCCTTCGTGGTGGTACCTTGGCTTTGCATTCCGGTGCATCTCATGGGGGATGAGTAAAAAACGGAAGCCAGTGCTTGATTACAGGCTGCATGGGTCGCAGCAAACTACAGCAAGAACTAACGGTAACTAACGAACTTCTTTTCCCGGTGATTTTGGCCCCAATCCATGTGCATGCTTCCCTATGTTGGTATCTGGGCCTTCAATCACAATGGGTGTTGGAGCCTTTCTCAGCCCTTCACAACCTCCCTGCTAGAGTGGTCCCCCTGTTCAACGTGCACGGATGTGCTTCCCCTTGGTCAGAGGACGTCAGCGGTTCCATGGCCGTCTTCAATGGCGACGGCCGCTTAGACCGGCTTTGTGCAACGATGGTGATGATCATGGAGAGCTTGTGCGGCTTAGAGCACAAGTACATCTATGAGATCATCGGACACAGTGGCGAGTCAGAGCCTGGGCATGTGCAGTCGATGTTTGCCATGTCCTTCCAGATATATCGTTAGTTTGGACACTGAGACCCGTATTATGTTCAGGGCCTGGCCATTTGCTGTCACAACGTGCCACACGAGCGCTAGGTTTTTTGGAAACTCTTTGTGTGAGTCTCAGCACTAGATTGAGCCAACTGAATCCCTTTGGTGGAACAGGGCCACGCGGGGCAGCGGGTAAGCCCAGTGCCGGTGCCTTCCCCCAAAGAATCGTCGCTCACAAGCATATGCTCCTGCCAGCTTCAATTTATGCGCTCATCTCCCATGTGCATGCCCAAAAGCCAAAGCATGCCAAATGCGAAACATCCAGTTTTCCAGTTTGTTTTCAATCGTGTGTGTCTTCCCTGAAAAAGATGTCAAAAGCAACAAATTGAGTTTGAGTTCAATGGATATATTCTGATATCGTGTTGAACTTCGACTTCCAGGATTGGCTGCCGTTCGTGCAGATGGGCCAGCACCCGGCCACGCGCCTGGAACGCTTCGCCGTGGTGGAGGCCATGACCGACCACGCGGCGACCGCTCGGAGCGGCGACAACACCTTGGCCGCGGGCGTGAAGGCCGTGCAGGAGATCGTCAAGGAGGAGCCGTGGGAGATCGGAAGCTACTAGGAACAAGTGCATCGCTACTAGTAACAAGTGCCTTACTAGTAACAAAAAGCTACTAGTAACAAGTGCCACGCTAGTAGTAACAAGTGCCTTACTAGTAGTGACAAGAAGCTATTAAGGAGCCGTGGGAGATCGGAGGAGGGCGGCGTGGAGATGTTGCGTGGGAAGGGAAGGGGGCTAAGTGGACAGGGAGGAGCTGTGCGGCGGGGGGGTGCGGCGGGTGCGTGGAGGAGGGCGGGCGAGGATTTCCCGCCAGGGAAGGGGCAAGTGACTGGATATGTACCATGCCTTAGGAAATTATTGGGAGGTGGGCGTCATTATATATTATGACTGGATCCACAGCGGTGCGTGGAGTTGACGATGAGTGTACGGCGACAGACGGGGAGGGAGCAAAGCGAGATCGTTTTGCTGACATGTCCGGGAGGTGTAGAAGCTTTTTGATAGTTTGGTCTGACATTTCGACAGGGTCGTTGATAGATGTGAACTTGGGGTGGTTGTCTTAAATGAAGATCCGTAACATCAACTCTGAGCACTTTTTGGAGGAATCTGTTCATGTTCAGGGGCTCCAAGGTGCCGAAGTTTTGATCCACAGCCAATTGACTTAAGCGATTCAACCCCAAAATGTATGTGTTCTTTAGATGACCACATCCTCTTCCGCCTCTCCACGAGCAGCACGCACACGCGTGAGGATGCGGATGACTACTTTGTCTTCCTCATCTCCGATGTGGCTTGGTCTGACTTGTCCCATTTCCAATGCCAAGCTTCCTTCAGCTCATTTCATGTAATAAGTGTGCACTCCCCTGGTTGGTGCCTTTCCTGTTCATGAGGCCAACCTCCGCGGCTACGGCATCTCGGCCGAGGACCTCGCCATGGCCCTGACGGGCGAGGCGGTGGAAGTCGACCATGCCGGGGAAATCGACCCATCCAGGAGGAGTTCAACAGATGTCAACAATGTGTCCAACTTATGGTATTGATTCAGTGGAAACATCTACTACCGCTACTGCTCCTACAACAACTATTACTTCTACTACTACTGCTGCTGCTGCTGCTACTTCTGCTACTTCTACTGCTACTGCTACTACTACGACTACTACTAGTAGTACTACCTACTACCTACTACCTGCCACATACCACATACCACATATTGCATACTACATACTACATATTACATATTATATACATACTACTATTCCTCCTGCTGCTGCTGCTGCTGCTAGTACATACTAGTACTTTCCCATATTTCTGGGCAGCTTCCTGGGATCCACTCCACCTACTTCATTGCGGGATCTTTGGCATTTCCCCCCGTCATGGAGTCATGGACCGCTCTTTCGGCAGGTCAAGGTCAACGCGCACGCCATCTTCATCGCTGAGCCGGATGCCGCTGAGGAGATGCGCCGATGCATGCCGCAAGGACACGCGCATTTGGTGATGGAAACCTCAGGCGTGGCGGCCTGGTGGGCGAAGTCCACAGTCCACTGAGTGGAGAAGTAATGTGTACTCTTATAGTTTTAGATTCATAAGACCCCCATATGAAGAGAATTTCCAATTCAAATGGGAGGGTTTACTAACCAAGAGTCTACATTAATTAGATGATTTCTCTCTTCGGATCTTGATGATCCTTGTGGCGTGTTTTCTTTCGCACCGGCCCAAGTTTCCAGGGCAGGTTGTTCACCGTAGCCGCCCTCAAGATGAAGACTCCTCAGGATGGTTGACACGTGGGGTTTCCTCATGGATTTCAGTCCTTTCTCCATAGAAAAGCCGTTACCTATAGGCAATTAACAGATGCAAAATCAAGTTGGATTTTACATTACTTCATATTGTATCCGAACATTCCTCATTTTTTCATGTTTGCATTTTTTTGACTTGTCCCATGCTTGTCCTTCTTCTTTGCACTCCAGGCATGCCTTTGCTACTGAAGAATATCTTCGCGCGTGCCGTCCTGGCCACCTCCAACAGCAAGCTCTAGACTCCTCCGTCGCTGTCAACTCCTCTGTCGCAGCAAAACGGGTGCAGCAACTCGCTGGATTGGAGGAGTTGATCCACCTGATCCCAGGAAAAGTGGATCTTTTGCCCCAGCACTGGATCATTTGCCCCATGCTGTGTCAGTGATGTTGGTGTTCAGGGATTTGCTCGTGAGATCCCTCATTCGATCGACTTCTCCGTCGCTCAGGGCCTTGCTTGAAGGTGATTTTTCAGAGCTCCTGGGCCGCGAAGAACGAACTTCAAGGTGGGGCCACCCTGACAACACTTAGCCTGGCAGAGCAGTGCAGAGAGTTAGTTAGAAGAGCAAGACCCCTTTTGCAACCTTGATAGATTGACAATAATAGTGATTCTACGCATTCTCTGGCCCTTGCAGATGCTATACCGACATTTTCTGGCATCTTTGGACGTGTCCCACAAAAAACTGAGACCTTGTCAAGTCAACCAAGAATGACTCTGATTTGATGTAAGCCCTCCAACCTCCTCAAAGAAACATGAACACACCCCTAAGGGTCCAGGACCATCCTGAGGATGTCCTTTGACCCCCCAAGACCATCCTCAGGAGGTACCTAGACCGGGCACAGGAACCACCCAGGGAACTCACCTCGCAGGATCTGCCACCGTGGAGCTGCAGCCCCGGGCCACGGCTCTCGGCTTGGGCAAAAAGACGGCTTGGGCACCGGAGGGGGGAAACTGTTACTAGTAGCTTCTTGTTAGTAGCCATGGCCTCCACCCTAGTAGCGATGGTCTCCAACCTACTAGCAATGGCCTCTACCCTAGTAGCGATGGCATCCAACCTACTAGCCATGGCCTCCAACCTACTAGCGATGCTTGTGGCTGGCGGAGGGGGAGAGTGGTTGATTTTTCTCCCCAACGGCTGTGGTTGGAATATGCGCCACAAAAGCTTCAAGTGTGGGTATCCGGTCTTGTGTGTTTTTACCCATTACGACTGGTGGATTCAGTGACTGCCCTCCAAAGCATCATGGAAGTGGATGGCATGGCGTAGCATATAAAGACCATCAAATCCACTACCAACAGCAGATTCTTCACGAAACCATGGCAGTTTAGGTCTACGTCGTTTACGTCTCATGACCGTCAGTGGGGGTTTCAGAATTGAGACAGCAGCAGCACCCATTGAGACAGCCGCATTTGTCCTAAGATTTGTATTACTAAAGATCAAGCCAAGAAGCACATCAGAGCACCTGAGTTACCATGTTGCCACATGAGGGGGTGGGTTACCATGCGCGCCAGGTGTGCTGAGCACCGACCGGGTCTTGAGAAAGCGTCGAGACTTTCTTGAACTGAACATTGTGCACAGTCACAGTTTGTGTTTGAGAACAAAGAGCCAACCTATGACTTGCAACACAGGGCTCAGACAAGCGCTCACAAGCGCATGTAGACGTTTTCAGAGCTGTACTTTCGTTTATTTTGCTTAGATTTAGATCACTTCAAGGGAGGCTGCCTAAAACTGGGTGTGTGAGTAATGAACTCTGTCAGTGTTTTGCTGGGTGAAAGATTGAATGTGGACCCCATTTCCTTGTAAAATATTGTACGTTTTTACAATTCTGTAACCGTTCAGGGCAGCCCTTACTTAACAGATCACTCTGGACGTAGGCCCTTAGGAGTTTGACGCAAACAGTCGTGATTTCATGTTGCTTTGAGCCACCCTCACCAGCGGACTCCCGGAAGACGAGACTCACGTGCGCCTAAAACGGGTCACGATGCCAAAGCGGCCGAACTTCTGGCAGTTCAAAAAGCTGCCGACAGATTCTTGTTGGGATGGGTAATGGGTACCACATAATTAGTCCGCCAGGTCTATCAACCACCGAACCTGGGTGGTGCTGGTAAGGAAGCACGTTCTTTGGGCAACCAAGGCGGTCTAAGAGGCGGATCTTCCGACATGTTCGACGGGCTCCACCCCCCACATCCTTGGTCTTCAGCACCCTCCTGACAGGGATGGTACGTAGACGGCCGACTCATCCCAGCCGGAGCCTGGAGATATCAAAAATCATTACACTCCCAAAAACTCACATAGACCCTGACGTCCTGGCCCCCTGGATTTTCCTCTACGACACCAGTGGTTTTCAGGGTCCATGGGATCGTCTTCCAGGGTGTATGGCCCATAAAACGAAACAGATGATCTCCACCTGGAAAACGGAACCACCGTCGAACCATGGGTCTGAGTCTGCGATCTCCTGAAACCGATCCCTCTCCGAGATCGATCGATGGTCGATGGCGGTTTTTCATCCCGACGTCTAGCGGCGAATTCCGGAACCCGGAGCAATGCAGAGTCACTCTCCGCCCCTCCACACACACACACACCTTCTGAAAGAAGGCATGTGGATTTCAAGCCTCAGACCTCTGCGGCCTGGGAGCGCTGTCAAATCAATCGAATTCTTCCAACGTGCGGGTCCGGACAAACTTTTTGGACGGTCATGTTGATCATGTGGTTGGTGGATGTCCAGGTCCGATTTCGTTGGTTGAACCATTCGGACGACACAAGAGGAAGGTTCGGACGACGCGAGGAGGAAGGCTCCGAAGAATCTCGTGGAGTTTCGACAGTTCGGCGCCCAGGGCGGGCCAAATCGAGCGAGATCTTGCCGAGAATCGTGGGACTGAGGAGTGGACGAGTTACTGTAAGGTGGAGACCGGTGATGTCTATCCTATGAATGACCTGGGGGGGGCCATAACAATCAGATCCAGACTTGGTGCTCAGAAGAAGTTTGTTGAAAGAAACCATGTGGAAGAGAACGCAATAAGGATCCTCATGCTCGCCGGCCCTGAAACGGTTTCACCATAACACGCATGGCACAGCGACCACGATGGACTGCTTCCGAAAATTTCTGGAGGCTTCGTGCGTCTGACGGGAATGGAAAGGCCTACCCCTCCGACGAACACCTTCAGATGGAAGTGGAGGCCCACACTCCCCCCGGTTCGTCAAGGCAAGCAGTCTTCCTTTCGGGAGCAGGTCATCCACTTCCGTGTAGTGAGCCAGTGTAGCAGGTTTGGATGGGTTTCAACCCGCCTTGTCTTCCGAGGTCCCCTTATGTCGATGGATATTGGCAGCCCGGTGACGAAGAGGCACGCTGAAGCGTCTTCACGATGTGCCACAGCATGGTGCAGTCTTCTATCTCCTTAGGGGTGCGGATCCAGGCGTGACAAGACTGGAAGGAGCTTATAGGTATTAATTATAGCATGATGTGTAGTACATAGGTCATAATATGTGTTTATATATATAATTATATATATATAGGTTTGGTCCATGCAAACATTGCACAAGGATGCACAAGGTGAAATTCCAAGTCTTCCACAAACTGGCATTCATAACCCCGCCTGCGGGCCACGATGATAGTACAGATGCAGAGATAGAACTTTGACCACGCGTTGAAATGTATGACATCCGTATCCATCTTGGCTTAAGGGTGTAGGTCCTGGTGCAGCTGAGGCAATTTCATTCCTCACAACGACGCCATGGAGGGGACTACCTCAAGCCTGAGTGGGCGGCATGACTATGACACCAAATGGCCAGCCTATTCTTGTGCTTGGTCCGCTACGCCTGAGGCTCGCTTCAGGCTTGCTGTGGGGAGTTGCATTGAGGAGAAGCGAAATTTCATAGAGATTCTCGAGCTCAACGAGGGCAACTTGGAATGCGTGGCAGAAGCAGAGCACCCATTCCCTCCAACGAAGCTGCTGTGGAGGCCGGAGAATGGCTGTGATGGCGGCAATTTGCTAGCTTCCTCTACGACTACACTAAATCTTTGGAAGGTTGAAGACGGGCAGGTGAAGTGTGTTGCAACAATGGCGAACACCAGAGCACAGAAGCAATCAACAAACTTGCCTCCTTTGTCTTCTTTCGATTGGAGTAGCATAAATAACAACAAGCTTGGAGCTTCGTCGGTGGATACAACCTGTACAATCTGGAACTTGGAGAAGCAGAAGATCGAGACACAGCTGATTGCTCACGACAAGGCGGTGTATGACATTGCATTCTCTCATGTCGATAGCCTTTTCGCTTCAGTTGGGGCAGATGGTTCGGTCCGGATCTTTGACCTAAGGAACTTGGACCACTCAACCATCGTCTACGAGTCTTCGCCACCATCTCCGTTGTTGAGGCTTGCCTGGAATAAGAGCAACACCAATCATATTGCTACAGTTGCGATGGATGCTCCTGGAGTGACTTTGATTGACATCCGAAGACCTTCTGTGGCACTTGCAGGTCTCAATTATCGTGATTCCTGCGTGAATTCAATTACTTGGGCTCCCCACTCACGCAATCATCTTTTGTGCGGCACAGACGATGGTTTTGGAATCATTTGGGACATTGCAGAAGCTATTCCATCCAAACTCGACACACCATGTTTGGCCTATGAATGCAACAGTGAAGTGTTCCAAGCCCAGTGGCCTGCGTCACAACCCGACTACGTTGCACTGGGCATGGCACATCAGATCAGGCTACTCCAAGTTTGATTCATCAACTTACTTGTTGCAGGGACGAAAATGCCCCCGCCGCCCCCGTTTCACCACTTTAGTCCACAAGAGACGCCGTGCCGCGGACCTCGTGCGGCCGCGCATAGGCCCAACCCAGGCTGAGCATGCAGCGCGCGGCTAGCTGCTGAGTCTGTGCATTTGCGCGTCCGAAATGTATCGAAATGTATGGTATCGTTCGATTTGCTTGTGTGACCCTTCCACTGTAGATCATGTACACCTCGGTTTCATCAAAGCTTCTCAATGCTTGGCCCAGCTGGCATGGATTTCTGGAGTTCACCTATGGCGCGGGGCGCCCTTTCATACAAAGAATCTTAAGTCCCAACAAACCGGTCCCCCCAAAAAGCGGCCTGCCAATCTTGCATGTGAAGAAGCTCCAGGCAGAGATGGCTCAGTCGACTCCTCTGGATCTCTCTAGACTCTTCCGACTCAGTCGACTCTCTAGATCTCTCTCTAGATCTCTTCCGACTCAGTCGACTCTCTAGATCTCTCTCTAGATCTCTTCCGACTCAGTCGACTCTCTAGATCTCTCTCTAGATCTCTCTAGATCTCTTCCCCCTTCGTTTTTTTCCACCCCAAAAAAGCACCTCGGACTCCGCTCGCCTTGGCCCGCGAGACCGTGTGGATCCGCCTGGCCCGGTTCCGTCGCCAGGAGGCCACCGGCACTGCCCGGGTGCTCGCTCCTTAGGGGGGGGGACCGGTCGGTCACCGGTGGGGGAAAGGGGAAGAGAAGGCGTGAGAACATGAAGAACCCATCGAATCCGAAGTCCCCAACAAGGAGTCAGTCGAGTTTTGGAGCCCAGAGGTGGTCCAAATCGCCCATGTGTTGCCCATGTTTGCCCACATCCTCAGAATGATCACTAGATGTCAGTCGTCCAAATCGCGTGCTTCTTCCGGGGCAACATTTCATTTGATGTCGCAGACTTAGTCGGTCTTGTGTTCGATCGCGCACAGACTCTCAGACTCTGGCACCGGCTCCCAGGTGGCTTGGGGACACCGATGAGAACATTTTTCAGTCGTCCGGAGCCTCGGAGCTCGTCCAGAGGTTTGGAGGGAAGGTGCTTGGGATTTGGATGCGGCGGAGGTTTCTGGAGTGTTGTTTCTGTTCCTAAAAGCGCTGTTTTTAGGCTCCCAGGTGAGAGATGTGACACATATCGTGTCACAAGGGGTGTGACGATATGTGTCGTAGTGTCTTGGAGGGGTGAGCTTCTTCAAAAATGAGACGAGGAGGGAAAAGCACAGGGGCACGACAGCCACGAGGCAGCACAAGATCCAGGATCCATGAAGGTTATACTTGAAGCATCTTGAAGCTGCAATGGTTTCATAGGTTCGATGGCACAAGGGCCCCCGATTTCGGTGGTTGAGATGGACCCCCATCTTTCTTTCAAGACATTTTTTGGGGTGCCAGTGCAATCTGGTCTGAAACCACGTGCTAGATCGGCTGGTCGGAAGCCTTTCTACACTTGGTGTGCTGGTCAAGAGGGGTAGTGCTGTTGACGGATTAATGAAAGAAAGCCAGCGCTCGCAGATGTGAACGACCATATGCAGGAGGGAAGGGGTGGCGTTTCACGGAACATGATGATGCTCGTTCTTTGGAATCCCTGTGAATCCAAGTTTCAAACAATTCCCTTGAGATGACCAAAAGGATACCTACCAAAGGCGGTATGACATTTCCATGACTTGATCGGTGGCAACAAGTTGATGAAGTGGACTTTGGGACCAGCCACACATTCAAATCATTTGCATGGTTTTTTCCGGGCACCGGACATCCCGTTCTCGACCCAGGTCATCTTTGCCCGACTACTGGAAAGGCGCGAAAAAGGGGGGCCGAACGGTTGGGCATGCTCTTTCGGCCGGTGTCCCACCTGGAACGGTCGGTGCACCATGATCGCTACTGTAGAGAAGGGAGGCGAACATAAAAACGCCTCTGGTTGACCATCATCATCCACGGTTACTGGTCATACACCGTGATATAGTACCCCAAATGTGGCCTGGCAGGGTGAAGTCAGAAACAGGCTTGGGTCCCAGCTTCAGCCCACGAGGACAGAAGCTCTTCAAGCCCGACAAGGATTGTGGCACGAGGCGGCATCGCAAGCCGGATGGGCGGAAGTCTGCAGACTGAGAAGCTGAACGCACGGTAAAGGGTAAAGGCCTTTCGGTGGCTAGCTGGTGGTTTCAGAGACCTGGGAATGATTGAACCACTGACTCGAATTTGTCAAGTGGGTTAGAAACCACCAGCCAGATGTGGAGAAGGCCTTGCCCTTTTTGGCCAAGGAGGGGTGCACGTTGCCGAATGATGGCAACTGGCAGCCAGCAGATGGGACGTTTATCGCCTAATGCCTGCCATGATGGCGCCTTATTGGTTCATTGTAGGTGCAGAGGCCCTACTTACTTATTATAGATATCAAGACTTCATAAGACTTCATCACTACAAGGTGGCAGACAGCAGATGATCGCGGGACAACCCCGCCGTGTCGGATGCTGCGCATCGCAGTCAAGCACAAGCAGCGCAAGCAGCGTGCGCATACACGATCGATCGCGATGGTGCTTGGTCAAGAGGTGCTTGGTCGTACAGATGCAACCATGATCATCCCCTGTGTTTTGTCACCGGGGATCCCGTTTCTGCAAACACTTCCGCTTCAGGAGACCAGAACCCAACAAAAAGCTAAGCTTCACATGACCCAGAGCTGGTGAGGTTCAGCAGACCTCCTCTCCCGGCGTCGATCTAAAATGAAACAAGTGTGCTACATGGCTCCCCCCAATCACCCTGCCTGTGCAGTTCCCAATTCAGCAACTTGGCTGTATGGTTCATCCTTCCGGAGAATAGCTTCAGTATGACTAAGGGAGAGCTGATTGACCACCCACTACATTGGCCAGTTGTGGTCAGTTGCCATTTTTTTGATGAGAGGGCTGGATGATTTCGGTTGATTCCGCATCCCTCGCGGCCAAAACATACCCAAACAACCTGATCAGCATGCGCTGCCTCAGCCGCATTTTGGCTGAAACACTTCAGATTTTAACGCATCACTCAGTGCAACAGCCCCAGAAGCACCCAAGCATCTATTTTGTTCAACCTAATTACACATCATTCGCAATTGGTGCAGCAAGATAGTGATGGCAGAAACCAGTGCATAACTATGACCTGGGGGCCCGAACGTGGCCGAACATCTACACCTCCCAAACCAAGTCTTGGGCAAACATTTTTGGACAAACCTTCTTTTGATTTTATTTTTCATTGCTTGGGAAAACTGAGCCAAAGGGGTACAAGCGTCTTTAGTCTCCTCCAGCTCTGTGGGTTTGCCCCACTTGCTTTGAAGCCTCAATTCAATCCAGTCAACTGAACCACCTTTGGACCTCCACCCAGCTTCTGAACCCTTGAGTTTTTCTGGAAGCACCATAACAAACCAGAGATGCGTTGGAGCTGGCCAATGACCTTGACAGATTGCCATGACGTCGTCCTTGAACTGAAGGGGGGGCCGATGGGTCTTGCAAAGGGTTGGTTTCTTTGTGAATGAGGTGTTGGACAGGCTCCGCTTCTGGGTTTGTTTAAGTTGTTTGTTTGGCTGGCGCTGGGTGTTGGAGCTGGAGCATGAAGGCTTGGCCACGTGGGCGGCGGGGTTGTTCGGCATCATGACCATTGGGTCTTGCTTTTCAGACGAGGTGTAAAGCTTTGTCCACTTCATCTCACTCCAGTGGGCATGGGCATCCAGCTCCAGCCTCACCAGCTCAGAAGTCGGATTTGGATTTGTGACTGGCTTGTTCATGATTGAATTTGTTTGAGTATGGATCGGAACCCACAGGCCCATGACCCCCCAATCCGCCACAATCCCCCCAGTCCGCAACCAGCAGAGGGGAGGGCTTTCTCAGGGAACGTGTGCCAAACAAAAAGGCATGGTTGGGGCACACCTGATTGATTCAACTTGATTGCAGTGGTTTGAGAGTAGATGGCACTGGCACCCCTACATGTCTTGTCGGGGGCTCCATATAAACCTCTGAACTTGGGGATTGTGTTCTATCTACTTTGCAACCCAACATGTTGGTCACGGCCCCGAGGTTTTACAGCGCGAAGATCTGGCAAGAGGGCAAACGAGGCGCGGGAGGCTCTCTCCCCTTGGACGGGACAGTCTTCCGCCTCGGGCGAGTCGCTCGCGACCAGTGTGCGGCCAGGTCCACCGCCCATCTTCGCCTCCATTGGGGTGCGGCATCCCTTCCAGATCCAATTGGACATTGCCCTCCGGGAGCAGGAGTGAAGCGATGTGGAAGAAGGTGGCCAAAAGCATTGAAGAAGTTGGGGAAAGGGGATGCTCCAAAGCCAGGGAGTCGGGGCAAAGGCCCCAGAGCCAGGAGTTTCCGCGAAGGTTCAGGAATGGCATGTGTGCATGTGCCTGGCGCATGTGCCACTTCACCGCTGTGAGTCTGGAAAGAACGTGAAAGAAGGCCGAAGGGACGGAAGCTGAGACGGTGTGCGAATGGCCCCATGGAGACACAGGATCTCACAATGTGAGGAACCTCAGAGTGAGTGTTCTTTGCGTGTTTTTTCTCCCCACCTGTTAGGTGAGGGTGGTCAGTGGTCAGATGTTTCAACGTCAATGCTGGGGGTCACTCGAAGTGACACTCATTTCGTGTCTCGACTCCGATCGCGGCGCCCGTGACGAGGAGACCTTGCCAAGTCTCTTTGACTTGATCGGGCAGGCGAGACGTCCCCGGCACGGCGACGGACGGGAAGAGGGGGGCGCTGGCGTTGGGAAGGGGCGCTTGCTGGGTTCCAGCGGTTGCTTCGGTGACATGGGTTGGCGGACCCAAGGATTTGGGCACCCGATCTTGGGCGGTTTAAGATGTCTTTTACTTGGTACCCACCGAAGTTGGGAAAGGGACCCATGTTTGGAACTTGGATAGGGAACGATAATATGGATCTATACTATACTGTATATGACGCATATATGGAGCTGGTCAGGCCAGCTGGTAGATAACAACCAATTTGCACCGCGCAGCGCTTGAGTTCAAGAGCATGTCACGCTGCTGCCAGCAACTCTGAATTACTTAGCGGGTTTTTGGTTCCATGCGACTGATTTGTTTGCTACCTTGGCGCTTTCAGCCGCAACACAAGTATAGACTGTCAAGCATATAAGCCTGACTGAGCACAAGCAGGCCTTGTTTTGTGCAGGAGAAAGGTTGCAACATGTATCAACATGTTCCAACCGACTGGCGTAAGCCATCCGTGCCAGGAAATCGAGCATTTCGATGCAGGCAATACGGTGATCGCTGTGGCGCAGATCCCAAAAGTGTCACAGGCACGGCACGGGGTCTGCTGGCCCGCAGCATTGTAGCTTGCCTAAATCATGTCTCTATATAATTCTACATACATCTATATGATAGACCTACTGTACATATTGCAGATGTATACATATATATATATATATGAACTCTACTATATATATATATATACAACTACCAATTCTTTTCACGCACACGTGTGACATGACATGACATCACATACGTTGGCACCTCAACTTGGAGCTCCAAGTATCCAGATTTGGGACGTGTGGCGTCTTCCGTGGCCGTGCCCATGTGGGCTCCAGCTGGGCCTCCTCGTTTAACATCTCCCATGTGCGTTGCGGCTAGGTGGTGAAGATGGGGTTGTACCAGTATGGGAGTTGATAGGTTGCTGAGGCTGAAAAGCACATGACCCAGGTGTGGTTGGGACAAAGAGGTGCTTCGTGGTAGATTGGCCTGCGTGTTTGCATGCCAGGTGCAGGTGCAGGCCTTGCTGAAGAAGTCAAATTGGGTTCCACTTGGGAATTGTGTTGAACTATTTAATTAGATGACCCATGGCTTTGACGCGCCAATAGGTCCAAGACACCACATTTGTGGAATTCCAGCTGAAGAACGACCAGTCGTTTTGCACACATTGTGCATGTAGAACTTTGCATGCACAAGGAACAGGTTGTCAGATTTTCCATTGGCATGAGAAGGACAGTTCTGGAAAGCCCCATGAGTGGTACGGATGAAGATGCATTGATTTCAAAGACTCAAGTTCGGCTTTTCCCAGAGCCATGTTCATTCTTTTCAGTTCACAATGCCCTGTGTTCATTAGCTTTTGTTCCTCAGGTAAGGAGGTGAGTTGCCCAGGAGTCGCGAGTTATTCTTCCCTTGCCGTGGAAGGACCAGAGTCTAGAAGTCTTCCGTGAGAATCGAGCTCCTTTGTTGGATGAAGCCGGCGAGGGTCATGATTTGGCAGTTTTGATGGAAGTTAGCAGGCAGCAGTTTTCGCACCATGTTGTTCAAACACTGGAGTGGAACATGGCTGAGAAATCGTAGATCAAGATTGTTCGGTCTGTGCTTATCAGGGTCCCATTTGGGAGGGGCACCCTTTGAATGCAAGAATGTCATGAGTAGTAAGTAGCCTAGTGAATGCCAGTGAAGGAGATTGTTGCAATATGTTGCAATGATTTTTTGGACTTCAGCAGTCCTCGCGTCATTTTCCAGGTGAGTTCTGAAACATCTCCAGCTTTAAACAAAAACAACAATTTCTACATACCATAGATTTCAGAAAATGAAAATCATAACAATAGCAACTTGCATGTATTAACAATAATAGCACTTACAATAAATACAATTACTACAAAATAAAAACCAGTGACGAACGTGCTATTATTAGCAATGAACACACCAATAGTAACAAAACAAAAAAAAATATTTATATTTGCAAAAAAAACAGACAAATATGTATATCAGCGCATATCATATAATAGAATTGATCCAATTTCTGTGGTTTCTGCTTCGACATTCTATTCTATTCCCCTTCATCTCCCTGCCCACCGCCCCCAAAAAAAACAAAGGACAAAGCAACCTTTCCCGACTTCTGTCCCCATATAGCCACACCCCTCGGGCCCCCCGGCACCGCTTCAAGGCCTGGCAGGAGCTGCAGCGTCGCATGCACAGCTCGGTGGCCCGTTTGGAGCCGCGAGGCCGGACCGGCCGGGCGGCGGCGCCGGGCGGCTCCGAATTCACGAGATCCACTTCCCCAAAAGAAGGGTCCAGGGAAGGGACTTGGTGGAATTTCTATAGTTCGTTGTTTTCTTCGATTTTTGTTGGGGGGGAGCACATAGTGGAGACATGGTGGAAAGGTAACTGGGACATGTAGAAGACCTCGGGACGTGTGCAGGAGTCTTCTCTCGGAAAGTTGTGGGACTACTGTAAGGGGTGGAAAATGATGAATAATGCCTGCTAGGCTAAAGGCATGGTGCCCAGACCTTGCAACTGTCTCTCTCACAGAGGAGTTGGCATACTGTCATGATATGCCCCGCTGTAGTGAGAAACACGTCGTACTGGGCTTTGCCGTGACTCGGCTAGGATTGTCCATGCTGGCCTATGCATTGGCACGAATGAAGGGCTTCGAGGCACTGGGCTGGTTGGATGAGAGAAGCTTCACCTACACCTACAACTTGAGGGCCACAGGTGTTTTTGCCGGCGAAATCGAGCTGGTTCACTCATCACCTGAAGCATCCACTTGCGAGTGAGAACATGGTCAGGTACTAGCAATGCCAGCATTGCGGTAAGAGAGATAGACCACGCCCATCCAACCACCCCAGCGTTCCTCATTGCAGCGCAGCGTAGAGCACGAAATATACCTTAAACAGTACGTGATTTAAGATCCTGCTTTAGTTGATAGTGGATATTCGCGTTCAGTGGATCTCAGTGGTGGTAGGCGAGGTGCCAAGAAGCAGGAAGTAGCAGGAAGAGGGAGGGTAGCAGAGCAGCCGAGCAAAGAGCAAGCTGCACCATCACAGCCAAAGGCATCGCAGAAAGACGAAGCACCAGACCAGGCACCACAGTCCCAGCGGGTCACATTGGGAGCCCTACCAGAGCGTCGCAACGCCACAAAGGCGTCATCTAGCTCGGAGCTAGCAGAAGGCCTTTCCTCGGCTTCACACGAAAGAGGTAGCTCCGGTACCCGTGGTGCCGAAGAGCCGCATACAGAAAAAATCGTACTGAACCAGCAGCCGTCCCAAGAAGGAAGAACGACACAGCACCAGAATCCCCCCAAAGCTTTCAACAACCTGGACCGTATGGTGGTCAAGACATGTCACCATTGTTGACTGGGCGGCTCTGTGGTGGTTGAATTAGTCGATGAGCCCTTCCAACTCCCAGGTTGTGCCCTGCTGGGGCCCTGGTGGGGCCCGAAACACGTTGAACATGAGTCCCAGAACTGGTCCACAAGTTGTTCTTCAGTTTTTTTACGTACCAGCTTGGGTACCATATTGGGAACCATCTTGAACCTCAAAACGCCCGTTGCAGCTGCAAAACGGTTGGGTCATACACTCACCAAAAAGATCCACAAAACGAGACGGCACAGCACCACAATTCAACGAAACGCATTTTACCAAACTCCTGACGTCCAATTTGCAGTAAGTCAGAGAGGAACTACCTGCTCGTTTGGTAGTTCATTCTGCATCAGGACGCTCCCACTTCGAGTCCCAAACTGGAGCGCGTCCGCGCTCCGCGCTCCGCGCTCCGCGTCGCCTTCACTCGGCCAGGACCCAGTGCTGTTGACGGCGGTGCTCGACCGCTCCGTCACGAAGATGCCGGACTTTGGGCCGACCGACGCAGCGAAGCGCCCCGACAGCAGCGACGGCACGCCGCGCTTCCCGCGACGCGTGACGGACGCGGGTCGATCGGTCGGTCGATCGGCTATCGATGGAAAGTAGCATGCCAAGGCAAGACGTCCTGAAGTAGAATGTGGAAAGTAGGGGAGCTGTGATGTCGTGAACCATGGCGGGGTCTATGATGAATGCACTGGTTTTGGGCAGTCAACGTTTGTCAGCTCCTTTCCTTCTCCTAAGGGTCACTCTATATCGTATATTACATTCCAACGTATTTGCCTATTTCACCGTTCAGGGTTTAAGTGTGCTTGGGTCATGTGCAAGCACATAAAGGTCACCAAGGATACCAAGGTCGCTCCTTGATCCGGCTCCCGGTATTTAGATACTTGGACTTGGGCAGGAAGTTGAGGTGTTTGGTTGGGTGGCAGGAGGTTTGTACTTTTTAAAGGCTATTTATGCAGTGAGCATATTGCTGTACTGTACGGGGTGAAAAGGCGCGTCCTGATCTCAGATGGTCAAGCTGGCTTGCTACAACTACAAGTCTTAGCCTGCTGCGACCAGCTGTGTGGACCTTTGTTCCAAGAGCAACATTTGAAAAATCAATCAGTTGTGGCATTTACTTACCCAGTTGGTTGTGGTAGCACGGATGTTGACGGAGCAGCTGTGCTTGGGGGACTTGCATTCTGCGCCGTTCAGGCTAGCTTGGGTTCTGGCGAAGTTCCTTGGTTGCTTTCAGGTGGGCTAGTGCTAGAACTTTCTTTGCACGCAACACCTGCCGGCATGCCTCAGCAAATCAGTTGCAGGGCCACAGAGGACTTCACAAACTGTGGGATAAAGTCAATGTCAATGTCTTGTGTGAAGTCCCAGTCCATGGAGGTCTCCTAGCCAACCCCAGCAGCCAATGAACCGTGTTCAGGGTCTAACACGAAGCTCACCTTTTTCGAGGCATTTGTTGAGGCAAACTGTTCAAAGAAGGGGTCCATTTTCCCGATTGTTTTGGCGAATGCTCATGGCCAGACCTGCCCAAATGGTGGGTATGGTTCAAGTGCTCTGCAAGTCAAGGTTGCAAATCCGCGAGCGAAGTGACTTGTGGGTGGCCCTTTCCAAGGAGGCTGCTCGAAAGATTTGTGTCTTGGACTGGTGGTTTCAACTATTGGACGGCAAAATTGGCATTGAACCACATTGAACCAATATACAGTTACATAATATGGTTCAAAGTACTTAAATACAAAGGACACAATAACAGAATGTCAACATGCTTTCACACTTGCGATATGTGTAGTCATGTTTAGTCCAGTTCCGGGCTGTCGCCTTCCAGTTTCGGGCCCCAAAGAGCTCACATGTGGGCCTAGATTCCTGCAAGAACTAGCTGGGTTTATGCTCGAAACATGTTCTACAGCGGCTGAGAGTTTGACTTCCTACAGCGAAAACAAAGAGCGGAACACGGGAATGGGACTTGCAGCGGATTGGGAGAAGCAGATGGCTTTCACACCTACCAGTATATACCAGTATCATGATCATCATGCAAAGGGAGGATGAGATGGCCTTCAAGCTTCAATTGGGAGCCCCTGAAATTCTGCCGCTTAGTGTGGACATAGATAGTTTATGGGTGTGTAATCGCAGGCATGTTTGCATTGGTTTTCCAATTGGCATGATTTACGGCACGTAGGCTAGGCTACGCTTGCAGCGTGTGCCTAATGCTGGACAAGCGCACGATGACTTGCTTGACTTGCTGCACTGCTATTTCCCAGGCACTCCATGTATGCCATATATGCCTACATTGACCCCCCAAACCACCCCAATGTAAGCATATATGGCATACATGGAGTGTCTGGGTTTGGATGTGTTTTCGCGAGAATCCTACCGAATGGATGGATCCATCTCGCACCGTCGCACCGGCCCCTGCCAGATCTAGCAGGTTTGTGGATGTTTGTTCAACGTACATCAGTGCATGTTTTGGCTTTCGTGCCTATAGAACTCGATGTCTTCAGAGAGGTTCAACCATTTACAAGTACCTGAAGCGGATGGTATATATATAATATTATATTATGTGTTTTCCCAACATCCACATAAAAGCACGACTTTGCTTGGTCTTGGATGTGATTTTATACCATAGGAATGGTGATTTGAACTTCTCCTCGCACCTCGTAGCTTCGCCGCGCACCTCGAGGGTAGAAGATGTCCGAGGGACAAAGGATCTGTACTATATTATTACATGCTATTTTTATACCCTGGAAGTCCAAGACCACTTTAAAAGGGGTTGACCTGCTTTTGTAGTGTAGAATCCTTAGTAAAACAGATGGTCCAATCATGTCCAATCCATACAAAAGATCATTAGAACAAGGGTGGGCCAGGAAGCCCACAAAGGCATATTTGTTCAACCCTGAGGTTGATGGGTGCCTCTATAGGTTCGCGCGGGACCGCTGTTTCCTTCGTCCCTTCGAGGTGACTCGGGGCGCTTCATCGACATCTCCATGACCGCGTGGGCCTTCGCGAAGGCCGGACAGGCGGAAGCTTGGCACGAAGGCAGCACGCCAGGAGCTTCCCGTCCTGAGCAATACGAAGTCAGCAGCTTTTCCAGCCACTGGTCGTTCAGCACTTCCTGACAACCCCCACAGGATGCCCACATGATAGACACGTAGAATTTCCAAGCAGTGCATGCATGTATGGAACATGTACCTTGGAAGCACGCATTTGATGTCAATCTCATGGATTTGGGCAATTTACCCAGCAGTTCCAGCCTCATGCGAATCCCTCACCCAAACCATTCTTGAAGAACGGTTCAGTCAGGCGCATCTAGATTTGGTTCTGTTGTGTAATTCACACCTTCAGCCTATGAACTCATCATAACTCATCTATGAACTCAGCTCAGTTGTGCCACTCACCTTCAGTCCCCTCGGGGGTAGGCCTCGCGGGCCGATTCCAGCCGCTCCGACCACCCAAGGAGCGGATTTTGTTCGGACAGCTGGCCTCGGCCGCCCTGCAGTGTAACGACCTGCCCCCGCCACCCGGCAGAACCGGTGGCGGCAGAGGCAGGCCCCCGGGCCGAGAGGAACACCTAGACCCCCTCGGTGTCGAGAAAGGGGTGCAGCTGGTCACCCACTTGTTCTACTGTAATTTGTTTAATGGTATTATGTAATTAATTATGTGTATGGTGGTTGCTAGCGTTCCTGGTACCTGATGATAATGATTGGGTCAATGATTGGGTCAATGTGTGTGACATCCAGGAAGAACCCAACGAACCCTGGCTACCCAGAAAGAACCGCTGCTACCCTAGCGGTCCAGAGGAAGACCACTTCCTGTGAACACCTGTGTTCACAGAGGATTCTGGCATGGCTTTGCAAAGAGATGAGATGGGAAATCTGCGCAGCATCCTGGATGCTGGCATGAATATTCATGTGCTCCTTCCTGCATTCTGGGCGGCATTCCTGGATGCGCCCAGGCACACGATTGCCAACCTTTGCTGGGCCTTTGCAAAGTCAAAGAACAGCAACAAAGACCTTTTTGATATGCCGCTCGCCTGAAGTGAATGAACCTGTCAGGTCATGGCTTTGGGAAGGAGGAAGTGACAAAGGAATCCAGGACATCCGGGACTTGAGGGTAGCCAATCAAGCCTTCTGCACCAGGGGCGGACGGACCACACTGCTCACTTAATAATACTTAATATACTTAAGGTGGGTGGTTGCTTGGGTTCCTGCGGAGCTGTATTCCACCGATCAGTGATCAGTGTACTGCTTGTATACCGAACCCTGTCTGAGACAGCAGGTCCAAGCTCCCACGTATCATCGGACCCCGGAAAAAGACCCGGAGTCCACGGGTCGCCATGCTGCGGTGCCATTATCCCTGGTTTTGGCTTAAAGATTATGTTTGAATATTTTGTTCCTTGCGGTTAACTCATGTTAAATCCCCGTACCTGGGGAAGATGGTCTTATTTTCTCCAGGCTTCCTTCCGGCAGCCCGCGGGCATCTGCCTTCGGCGCCGGAGCGGCCAAGCGCTTCGCTGTGCTAGGTTGGCCAAGCGCTCCATCGAGGCGCACCGCTCCTTTGATCGACAAAGCGCCGCTCGGCGGTTAGGGCGGTGGGCCGCGCGGCAGAATCGTGTCGCCACCGCGTTTCGTGTTGGTTTGAGGCCACCGAAGACGACAAACACCCATGAATAGACATAACCAAACAACAACAACAACAACAACAACAACAACAACAACAACACCAACAACAACAACAACAACAACAACAACAACAACAACAACAACAACA